TTTAATAACTTAAGACCTATATTGTTACAACATGAAATAGCAATAAATTATTGAATTGAATTGAATATCTATCTGTCTATCACGGTACTTTTCATGTCTATAGGCGACAGTTACCACTTTCCATCACGTGAGCCGTCAACTTGTCTGCCATTCTGAGTTGCAATAAAAAAATCTTATCGATTTAAACTCGACCTGTACTATGTTTAATACATAACCATCCTATAAACATAATGTGACAGTTTGTCAAGATGTCCGGATGTTTGTAACTCAATTACGCATAAACGACTGGACGGATTTGGATGAAAGGGGTATGGGTAAAGTTAACGTCGTTTTCAGTTGATGACTTTTGACTTGGAGGGCCACTCATGGAAGCGGTATGTTCCGAAAGATCGGTTCAAAAGAAACAAGCATTGTCATTGGTATTATGTAGGCAAATAACATCAAGGCCAAATTATTTGTGTTTAAAATTTCTGCAAATATGTCTTTTTATAATATATATATATATATATATATATATATATATATATATATATATATATATATATATATATATATATATATATATATATATATATATATATATATATTCATCCCAAAAGTAGAGAATGCTACTAGCATTAAATTCGCCTTTTGTGCCATATTTTATTTTGATCAATATTTAAAGTTTTTTAAATAAGTAAAGTTTATATTTTTTCATTTTTAAACACAGTTTTCTTCGATTATTTATTACGGTAAAAACTATTAATCATGATTAATTACCTAAAGTTACAGCTATAAAAATACGACGGAGTCACTGGTTCATACAAAGTTACCTATACGCCTTTGATAAAGTTAGACAAGTTTAAAAATTTTAATAGTATAATTATATAAGTATAATATAGTATTATTTTAAGATGTCGATGTAAAAAAAAAATTTTCTGAAATTTAAACACAACGTCCAATAACTACAGTTAAAATATTTAAGTCTAAAACCAATCCACCACACTTTCTCTATGAATAACATCCATTCTATAGAAAATAATAATTTATATTAATTAATTTAACCATTTTCTAGATTATCTTTCACTTTTCTGAAACACCGTTCATCCCATATTTGAATTAAACAGTTCCAAAGTTGAATTCCTGCATCGAAAATATGTGATTTTGCATTCTGCACCGCAGGCGATATTTTATTTTCCAGAAATTCCGTCGATAGCAAACCTAGGTTTTATTTTTCGAACGGTCCCGAGCGCTCCTAACGATTGTTATATATGTATGTATTTATATATGTAGATGCATACCGTGAATTCCAGTGACAATATTACCCAGCTATACATGTAGGGGGGAAGGGATTGTTAGTAATGGGAATTAGCAACCCCATTGCTAGGAATAAACCCTGATAGGTTTTATTGCTAGACGATATAGACGACCTCCTCGCGGATCTGCTTGGAAATCGTGATTGATTTATTTATTTGTTATTATAATGCATTCATGTACATAATTTTTTTTTATACAACTTAGTAACCGTCGCCTATAGACATGAACAGTACCGTGGACATAACAGATTCGTGTAGAGATTATTATAGCGAACAAGCTGTTGGCCCACCTGATAGAGCACTCTGATTTTCACTGCATAAATCCCATTTTTAAATGGAAAACGCAGAAATTCAGCCTTGCAATATAGAAATGACATTTTTATGCATATTACTCTTTTGCGAGTTCAAAGCGAAATAGAAGCATATTTTATTAGTTATTTTATATAAATAATATTTTCTCTATTATAGAATAGCAAAAATATAGACCGCTAGTTAACCCGACTATCGTAGTTTTTTTGCCCCCTACCGCCACCCACCGGGTCCATTTTCAATTCACTTTAAAAAAAAAGAGGAGATTGTCAATTCAGTCACATTTTTTAAGTTTCTTACCGCAAACTCCATTATTTTTGAACCAAATTAAAAAATTCTTTTTATCTGAAAGGATATAAATATATTATTATAAATATTATTCAATGCTCGTTGTTAATTATTGCTAACATATATATATATATATATATATATATATATATATATATATATATATATATATATATATATATATATATATATATATTTAGATTAGTCCCACAGAAATGTTAATATCGATTCAATAGTTTAGTTTATAAATCAAAATAACTTTTTTTATTTTTGTATTATATTTTAATTAACATAAAATATACTGTCTTTCAAACCGTAATAAACAATACAAATTTCATTCACATCGATCGAGTTTCGGAGATTAGCGTGCACAAACATCGTGACACAGGATTTTTATAAACAAAAATTAAAAAACACGACTTTCAAGATTGATGTAACTGGACAAATAAATAAATAATACCTCCAACTACCCCATCTCGACGACAATCCCAAATGGGGTAGTTAGAAGACATTTATCAACTGTCCCCGCTGTGGTAAACGGTACACTCGACATGTCCACATTTCGCTCAGTATATTCATTATGAATCCCATGTGACAGGGGTGAACCTACCGCCATCTCTTGTCTGTAATACCAAGCAGTTTAATCAATTACCCTAATAGTCCCCGTGAGTCTTGTAACTATAAAATGTAACTTAATAAAATACACTTATCCTTTAAACTATTTGCCGTACATACATTTAGCGACCTCTATTGGATATTTACCGTAAAGAGCTATGACTACATTTTCATTGAAACTTTAATAATTAATTTCTCATCCAAATATCATGAAATTGGTCTGTACAGGGTGTATTCAAAATATAATATTTTTGAACACAAATTTTGTGTATCAAATAATAAAAAAAGAAATTTAAATCCTTAACTTAATAATTGAATGTGCCATTTTAATATAAGATTTTAAAAAACGACAAAAAATATTAATATGAATTTTTGTCGTTTCTCGACCAAATATTTCTGATCTGAAAATATCTATTTCACTAATAGATTACTCCTTTAAAACTAACGATTTAAATTTCAACTGTATATGTATTATTTTATGAATAAAAAAATGTGTTAAAGTCCTTCGTAAGCTATAACAATTTTACCTTTTGTACTTCGTAGCATGCTCGTAGCATTTACGTAGCGCGTATGTGTTTATATGAATAAATAGCTATATCCCACGATTTCACCCACGTAAATCATTGCATGAAGTATCATATATGCTAAATTAAGATATAATCTTCCTTTGTACTAAATTTTATTCAAATCCGTTCAGCAGTTTTGCATAAAAGAGTAACAAACCATCCATCCATCTTTCGTTACAAACTTTCGCATTTATTATACTAATGTAATTTATATATCTTGATTTTATTTATTAATTGGTTATATTATTATTTTTGTGATGAGGTTTTAATAATAATATGCATTATAGTAGCAATCACAAGTTTACAGTCTGAACTTCGTAGCACGCGCGTAGCACTTACGTAGTACTTCTAGTATAATAATATGAATAAGTTTAAGAAATAAGTTTATATTACTTATTTTGTTACTAACTGGTTGTGTTGTTTTCGTAATTACATTTGGATAAAAACCTGTATTATTGTATCCACTATAATTTTTCCATTTGCACTTCGTAGCATGCTCGTAGCAGTTACGTAGCATGTCCATTACATTAATAAAAACCATTTTTATTTATTAGTTTTTAAATAATTAGTCCAATTCTTGTTTTCGTGATGGTATTTTAATAAAAATATAGTTACAAACAATTATTTTTAATTTTAAAGTATTTTGTCCTATTAATTTTATATATTTTATTACAGTTTTTATCTTAATTGTATTGAAGATACTAAGGTATCTGTAATATTTAAATGTTTAAATATTTTTCTATAATGAACTAATGTTATATAGAGGATTTTGATTGTATGTTTTTAATGAATAAACACAAAAACTACCCAACCAATTTAAAAAGTTCTTTCATTTACGGAAAGCTACATTATTAGAGAATAACATAAACTCTAGATTTCCATCTACATACCTATTTGAATCTCAATCAGATAGTATTTAATAAAACATAATTGAAGTCAGAATAAAAAATATACTATTACTTATTAGTTAATTTGTTTATAATTTACAGGTTATTTTAATTTTGAAGTTATATTCTTCGTTTATCGAAGAAAGGTTCTTGACTTCGACCCCGTATGACTAAATGCAATGTAGGACAACCTACCACTAGATGGAGTGACGACTTCAAATGCATTTCAGGGTGTCAGTGGATGCATGTGTGCAGTTCCTTATGGCAGTTTACAGGAGAGACCTACGTTCAGCAGTGGAAGGATAAAAGCCAAGATGATGATGCTTTTTTATCATCTTAGGTTTTTTTAATATATAAAAAACGCTATCTATTTAAATGTAATATATATTTTCCAATCACAATACTAAGCTTCAAATTTATATCTGATTCTAATTCCATTTGCATTGCTTTATTTACTTTATACTGTACCTATATAATATATTTAGATATAAAGACAAATGTCTGAGGTTAAGTAGGTTAACGTCAATCAGTTATTTGCGTATACCGTATTCATAGTTATATATTATATTATTTGTCAGCCGTGTTGCCTCTACCGTGTAATCTACGTACATCAATGCATACTTTATTCAAGTCGGTACGGTACGACAATAACTCAGCGCCCTTTCCTACTTATTGCGGTCATAAAACACAATCCGTCCTCTCGTTACATATCTACAGTTTGCTGGAAAAGTGCAGGCACTCGCTCCACGGCTATTGTCAAAGTTTATTGGCCTCGCACACCGCGAGCCATCCATCAATAACCTTTATATCGTGACAAACCGCCGCCGGAGCGATAAACATGTTCCCCGCCGTAATCCGCTATCACTGACGATACTGAGTGTCGGCACATCGCATAAATTACCTTAGACTGACTAACTTAAAAATTGAAATCTGCAAATGTAAAACAGTACAGCATATTCGGTATAGGAGCCGCTATCAATCCATCGGGTGATCCGTCACGGCGCTCGTCCGGCCGTAAATATTCACGAATCAAGTCCTACCTTAAACGATTAGTTTTCAATCGGCCGATATCAGCGCATGTCTGTACGGCCGGTCCCTTCGCTCGTGGTATGAAAAGTCGTCGTGTACAAACTGTATTAACACATCACATGAGTCGGTCGGTACGTGGTACTGACCGAGGCTCGAGGCGTGCGCCGCTCGCGGCGTGGGGGGGCCGTCCGCACCACAGCACTACACTCACGCAGCAGCGCGTCGGGGCCGCGTGCGCGTGCACGCGTCGCGCAACATGGCCGTGCTCCCGTGCTCGTGCTCGCGCTCGCGTGCAGCTATCGACCGTGCGCCGGCCGCGCGCCGCCCAGCGACTGACGCGAGAGCGGTGCGCGCGCACCGAGCCCCGCCGCGCGCCCTCCCGCCGCCCCCTGGGCCGCACGCACCCCCGCCCCAGGGCCGGCTCGCGGTCTCGTTCGGGAGCAAACACTACACGCGATAACTTTGGAAACGTTCGCTCGTAGCCCGCCACAACTGCGCTGCGGCTGAAAATCGGAAAAATTATGCGTTCCAACTCTCGTTAACAATAATTCAGATGCTTATTAGATTACAAATTTAAATTTATTATTAAGTACAATTATTACTCCATATAGTTAATATAAACTTATAAGACATTCGTACTGAGTACTTATACCATTACAAGTACATTGTAACTGTCTTTGCCTTTTTCCTTAAATCTTGTAGATATAAGGCGTTGCTCGCGTGTTTATTTTCGGCAGCGGCCGCGGTGCCGAGAGCGCCGAGCCGCGTGCCGCCCGTCGGCATGGCAACGCGCCCCAGACGCCGCCGAAGCCTGCCGACGGTGGCCGAACAGACCCGAACCTAACGCTGAAATTACAGAGCCTGACTAGACCTCGACTTTTGAAAATAGAAGCGTAGCGCATATCGCTTTCACAAAATATTACTAATAATTATAATTAATACTCATTCTACCTCTTTTTACTCCAAATACTTTTCCGTACAAGCAGTTCGTTTGTGGAACTTACTCATTACCTCTATATGGTACCTCAATTTCTAGCTATTTTAAAAAACTTAGGTAAATCCCACTACCTATCCTTATAATCATTTAGTCCTCCATATTTCTTATCAGAATTATATGTGTCATATACATATATGTATGTTAATTTTGTTAGGTTTTCTAGAAGACATTGCTTAGCAATAAGACCGCCTCTTGTACTACACTATCCTTATTGAAAATTCTTCAACAAGCCTTGTAATATTGATGCTCTCTCTCTTCGTCCACTTCATTACTGAAGGTCGTTGTCCTTGAAAGGTGTCTATTACGTCTCTTATGATATTTCCCCATTTCGCACTGTCTTCAGCCTCTCGCAGGGCAGCTGCAATATTGGTGCAATAAAGCGTTTAATAAATAAATATTTTCAAATTTAAACATTTTTAAACTGTCCGCTTGTAATCGAAATAATAAATATTCTTTAGACATATTACGTGGCTTATCATGCGACGATATCTGGTCCCAAACTGAGCAGAACTTGTAATATATCTTTAAACATATTTAAATACATTTAAAAGAAAATTCATGAGTATTCAGAGAGAATTCGAACCCAGAATTGGGAGATAAGATGGTATTTTAACTACTACTCCGCTAAACTCATCAAAATAGTTCTGATCTTTATTAGGGCACGAGCTCCGGTGATACTACACATGTTATCAGTAATTGCCAAGCTTTCAAATTTATTTTATGGTGTCTATTTAATATTTCTATAGAAACTTTAATATTACGTTAGGCGAGTAATTAAAATCGTCCGTATCATATTCCATCAGGAGCAGTCCAGTGAACTCCAGTGGTTACTACATGATGCATGCACAGATAAGCAAAATTTTATGGCAAAACTTTATGGTGTGTCAGCTTTTATCCATAACTTCGTTCGCGTAGAATTATATACTTTATAATGATGGTGTAACATTAAATCTCAAACTTCTAAGTCATATAATAACGCTAATTATTTTCACCTTACTTCACCTGTCTAATATCTATATAAATATGGGAGATTTTATTTATACTATTTAGAATGGCAATTAAGCTAACGGCCCACCTGATGGAAAGTGGTAACCGTCGCCTATAGACATGAGCAATACCATGGACATAACAGAGTGTACTATTTCGTCCATGATACCCCCCATGCGTTGCCATTCTTGAGGACTCAGGTGTTTATCCTCTGTACCCTGTAAATTCACGCCATATCCCACCCTTCGAACCGAAACACAGGCATGCAAATACAACTGCTTTACGGTTGAAACACGAATGGAACAGAGGTACCCAAGCAATCGATTTTTGTACAAGGTCTCCCTTTGGTATTATTATTAATGAATAAAAATGGGTATAAGCTTTAAAAAATAATAGCACATTTCACTGTTTAGAAAGTGCTTGTAAAATAAATATATTTTGTAGGTAGTTACAAAAACAATTAAAAAAATATCCAATACTTATTTCATGTATCTAATACCTGCCAAAGTATCTCACGAAACTATAGTAACTTCTATTCCTAAAAAAATCCATTAAAAATATCATCTATATTTTTTTCTAATCAATGATAATGGAATGATAACCCCGCCTGCGCTAACAGTATACGCTGGCGGGGCACCAGTGAGGGTGATGATAGGTGAGAATGGAAACAGGTCAGTTAACCCATTATGATAAATACACCTGGAATTCAGCACGATGGTTTCTAGGGTGGACCACGTGAAGGTCGACCTGACAGGATATTCATAAGAGACTACTAAAGTAACTTATTGGATAGCAGCGTCCCTCTTAAAACATCTCTAAAACCTAACTGCGGTTGCGAATCCGCCTGCTAAGCGAGACTGGTGCGTCCCCCCCCCCCCCTATACGAGAGGTCCTATATTCAGTAGTGGAGAATTAAAGGCTGGTAAGATGACATGATGCAATTTAAAATGGCAGACACACACTGTCCGAATAGTGACGATCTCCAATTCACATAAATATTACTATGTGGGTTACAGAATACGCCGTAATGCTTACAATACTTCTTATAAACTGTCATTCCTTACTACTAAAGTTTTTTTTTGACGAATGAAAATGGCATGGTAACCCCGCCTGCGCTAACGGGATACGCTGGCGGAGCACCAGTGAAGGGTGATAGGTGAGAATGAAAACAGGCCAGTTAGCCCATCATTATGAATTCATTACCTATTTTACATATAGATACCGCAAAATTATAAAAGATATATTTTGCCTCGTTTTGGAGGTGAAACACTTATTGCAAGACATGCATGAACAAAATGGCCGTCGGAGATTGGTGGCTATTAGTCATGGAAGGTTGTGGAACTTCTGATAGAATAGTGGTTAATCTTCGTGCATTAGCAGTCACACACATACTAATGGTGACGGAGTTAAACAAAATAATTGTAATATTTTTTTTTCCTTTTTAAAAGACCGGTAGCACGCCTGCAATGCCGTTGGTGTTGTGGGTGATCATGGGCGGCGGTAGTCACTTACTATCAAGTGAGCCGCATGCTCGTTTGCTCCCTGTGTTGTAAAAAAAAATCATCGATTATTTGTAGAAATACACTTATAGATTATATCGCGTAAAGTATGAAGCGATAGATGGCAACACCAGAAGTGCCTCAGAATTGTTTCGCTTAGTTTAAAAAACGAAACTTTTTCTTTTTACGTGTCAACCGGGACTACTTTTAAAATTAGATTGGATCGAGGCAACGGCTCTTTCATCAATAATTGTATTTTTTTACATTTATCAAATAAAGTCGAAATATCACAAACTTCTTTATGTCAAATTGACTTCTCTACTATATGTTAAAGACTTCAGCACGTACTAGATTATATCCTAATTCAAAACATAATATAGTTTATAATACTAAGTCTTGTGGGCAGATTCGTGTGACACAGCTAGTAAAAAATATATCCACACCCAAAAATAAACTCCTAATTGTAAAGAAAATTGTGTCGAATTCCGAATCGACAGCTGCAAACTATTATAAAACACACTCATTCCTCAACAGTGCCTTCAAAACTTCTGTCCTCGATCAACTCGAAAACTTCATTTTTGCAACTTTTTCTCCTATATAATAAATCTATTTATCCCCCTTTTTCCCCATCTACGGTAGGTACCGGATGCCGCGTGAAAAGCCGGAAATCGCATCAAGTCTCATAATACGACGTCGAGAAATAAAGCAATGCTTAATCGTAAGAAAAATATATTATCCATTTACACAAATAATGTACCCAGGACTTTTTTATAATTTAAAATAGCACGGCACGGGATCGTACCATTTTACAGGATGACTGTGTAGTCCCGATATAAAATAGGCCACCCCTTCCTTTCCCGTGGGTGTAGTAAGAAGCGACTAAGGGAGAACGAGGGATAGGCAGCAGCATCCCTCTTAAAACATCTCTAAAGCCTAAATGCATTTGCCAATTCATCTGACAATTGCGGCAACTATTAACAAAACCTTCAAGGGAAGCCTTATGTTCAGCCGTGGACAGTTAAAGGCTGATATGATGATGATGATAGAAGGGATGGCCTAACCTATGCCGTGTGACGCGCAATAGAATAGGCCACACCATCCTTTCCCGTGAGTGTCGTAAGAGGCGACTAAGGAAACTTAATAATCGAGGGATAGGCAGCAGCGTCCCTCTTCAAACATCACCGAAAGCCAAACTGCAATCACCTACCCGCCTATTATGCATAGCAATTACTAGAACATTCCCTCCAATTGAAAATTGTCATAAGAAACGAGATTGCTTCTTCAGTTACAGTCTATTGGAGACATGATGAAGATAATGTATGCAATTATAGAGAGGTACTTTAAATTTTATCTTTAAACTAGTCGTATATCTTTAATTTTATCTTTCCTTTATGCTTAATCATTTTATAGTAAAGAAGAATATTTGAATGCTAACAATGATTACCAACATAAAAAAAACATATTTTTTTTATGTTGGTATTACCGAATTGAGTACACCCTTCGTTTTGAAGTCAATTAAAAAAAAAACAAGGTATTATAGTCTATCTATGCCAACTAACACGTAATCAAAATGTTTACTTAGTTATAAGATTCGTTTGATCTCTATTTATACCATGTCTGATAAACAAGGCCAATACGAATTTCAGTTTTACGTAACTAATTCAAATTTTGTTCATAATTAAGTTTAATTAACTCGTAACTTATGTTCGTGTGTGTCACAGTAAAATGAGGACACTAGAACTTTTCGTGAAATATCTAGAAAATTACATAATTACAAAAGATAACAGTATTTAAATCTAATACGTTTTTTTCCAAAAAAATCTTGTGGTAACTATCCAACTATCTAACTATCCACTGCTGAAAATGAAAACCCAACTTATAGGGGGTTTTCGCTAGTAGTTTCTACGTTTGACAGGCAGGTTGGCAACAGCAGTTACGGTTTGGTGGCATTTTAAAAAGGATACCACTGCTCAATCCTCGCCCATTAAGTTCCCTTAATCGCCTCTTACGACACCCACAGGAAAAGATGGGGTGACCCATTCTATGCCGGTAATATACAGCGAGTTACGCTGTATTCAGTAACATATCATTTTACTGTACTGTAGAATGAGAAGGGAAAACTTTATACGAATGTTTACTATATAATAATAATAATTTATTTGCTCGAAATGTGGTACAAATGGTCTTAAATGGTAACTGAGCTACACATTTCGCCTTATCTAAAGGCATACAAATTTTGTCTTAGCACATGTTAGTTAGTTTTTAGTGGCTTACATTTTAAAGTAAAAATTTATCAATTACGTATGTCCAAATAATTATTCTAGTATTCTAGTAGATTCACGCCATATCCCATCCTTCTAATCGAAACAGAACCATGCAAACACAACTGCTTCACAGTTGAAACACGAATGGGACAGAGGTATTCTACAATCTACTAGCTACTGGACAGAAGCTTTTACCAGCGATTTTGTCCACATTACTGGGATATGGTTACTGACCGAGATAGAAAAAAGAATATAATATCCTTCACAATCTCATATAGTACACGTTTATCAAATTTTATAGCGATTGGTTAAACCGTTAAGGTGTTATAAGGTAACGAGCAAACTCACTTTCATATTTATAATATTAGAAAGAACTAATTCAAATTTCTATCAATTAATCGTACGTACAAACAGCCAATAGTATAACATGATAACAAACATAATAACTTTATATTTACTAAATAAACCATAAATCAATTTATACAAAAATTGTTTTTTTTTTGATGGGTGAAAATGGTATGGTAACCCCGCCTGCGCTAACGGGATACGCTGGCGGAGCACCAGTGAAGAGTGATAGATGAGAATGAAAACAGGCCAGTTATCCCATCATGATGAATTCATCAGGAGTTAACAAAATATATATATTAAAAAAAAAAAAAGTTTGATCAACTCACGAAGAAAAAGAACTAACTAAAAAAACTTTGAATAAAAGTCGTCTACTTATTTGTCACGATGACTAAACTGACCAGTTTCCATCCTCTCCTATCTATCATCTCTCACTGGCGCTCCACCAACGTACACCAACATTTTTTTTTTATTTATGTCGCATGTATACCAACATCGCAGGTGGGGTTACCATTCCATTATCATCCATTAAAAAAAAAAAGATCTTAAAACATGGCAACGTACTAACATATGGGCGGTAAAAGTATGTTCCGTGACATCCTTGGAAATTTTCTACCAGCTTGTTAACTACTCTGAGTTCTATTTAAAAGGTTATCAACATGTTCCATGAATTCGTAACATTCCTGGGTATTTAATGAAATCCCTAATATCCTTATTTCACAGCGACATATATATCGCTCATAACATAAACATTTTGAAAGTTATATCGTGAATAATTGCTATATTACAGTAAGGCAATTAGCCAAATGAACTCATCTATAACATTCATCTTCGTTTCTGTTATTATGATTTTGAATTAAATAGGTCAGTTATGTTTACTTCACAGATAGACGGTGCATTTGCACGCACCAGTTGGGGAATTGTTATAATCTAGAAGAGAGCAAGAAAATAAAATTGAAAACGGCTGACCGTTAAAATCGGCGGCAAATATATTTTTTGCCCATGGTAAAATCGCTGGATCGGGCATTAGTAACAAATAAATGTAACAAAGTCACACAGAAAACAATAAAATAGATATATTTTTTTTTTATTTACATCAAGAGGTACACAAAAATTGGAACAACAATAACAAAAAAAATAAACAAATGGACGTTATAGTCTAAAATATATAACAGACAGGTTAACATTCAAAGGTCTCTCAGTAAATAAGTTGTCACAATCTACTTAATTTATGAATTAAAATGTATAGGGGAGAAAGGGATTGTTAGTAATGGAGACTGAGAATCCCATTACTAGCAATATACCCAACCAGGTCGACCTCCTCGCGGTTTTCCCTGGAAATTATCATGGTTAATTCCTGATGAATTCATCATGATAGGCTAACTGGCCTGTTTTCATTCTCATCTATCACCCTTCACTGGTGCTCCGCCAGCGTATCCCATTAGCGCAGGCGGGGTTACCATACCATTTTCACCCATCAAAAAAAAATTAAAATGTATATGCTGGCGAGTGACTAGTGATAGATGAAGATTGTAGTTAGGTTGAATAAGTGGCTGAAATAAGTGGACAGACAGGTCCGTTAGCCTATCGTAACGAATTCCACGAAAGTGAAACACGACGGTTTTCAGAGGAAAGCACATGGAGGTCTACTTGATATAGTACATTACTGCAGCGGCCAGCAACTGAGGCATTGATAGACGAACGTGCAAATGTGGGCCGAGGCGTAGCCGAGACCCACATACGTGAATCCATCAATGCCTAGTTGTGCCAAGGCTTGTATAGTACTTTTCTCAAACAATGCGCGGAAATCAAAAACACAATTTTACTTTTTGAGTTCAATAACGTATAACGAACAATAATAATTTTTCACGCGCCATAATGTTTCTTTGTTTTTTTTTTATCAATAAACAGCTTTCTATTTGCAAGCTACTTCAAAATTTAAATAAAACCTTTTATTAGTTATCTCCTTGGTAGCCATGTTTCGAAGTAAAAAGTCATTCCATTTTTAAATTACAGGACAAATATGAGTTTACATAGTAATTTATCTGGCCGCAAAACACGACAGATATGGATTTTCATACAACTTCTGCCGGCCGCTGCTCGCATGTACCTGGCCAATACGGCAATTTTGATTTATCTCAAAGAAGATTGTCAAAATAATGCTCACATTTCCAAGCATGTTTGGGAAAAGTTTATTATTAGTAAATAAGTAGTTAGATCCCCGTTAGTCACGATCGTTTTCCCTTCAGATAAGTCAGTCGACCTATAGTACCATATTTACCAGTAGCTAACTATTATATATTAAATTTAAACCTGATTACGAAAAATTTGAACCTTTCGTGAGAAACAAGCAGTGAAAAATTATTTTTTTTAATTCTTTTTGTTTTATGATATAATAATTGACATGGAATGATACTAGTAATTTGCATTTCGTAGCATTTTATGCTCTCTTTTATATGAAATTGTCGGTTTTGTTTCAGAACTTAGAAAATAATTTTAGAATTATAGAATTATGCCCAAATAAACAATTCAACATTTTGCATTTATAATGTAAAATAAGTCACAATTTGACTTTCAATTATTTTCTTAAATTATATTGCAAAGAAACCATTTAGTGTAAAAGGATCAATTTAATAGAAAACCTAGTAACTTCATGTCCACCGAATTTAATTATTTTACATTTATTTCAATATAAATCCGTAAACTGACAAGCGACCCATATCAAATAATAATATGATATTGTCGCGTTTCTAGAAATAAAACAAAGCTAGTTCATCTTCTTTATCTTACAAATAACAAGATATGAATACGTGTACTATGTTCATATTTTCGATTGTTGCCACATAAAAAATTTACAATTGACTGACAAATAACATTTTCAAAAATTCCAGACAAATTATCTTTTTGAAGACTAGGCAGCATGGTCTCCGACCTTAGCCTGTTCCAAACGGAACAAACGTACTAAAAAAAAAAAAAAAAAAACATTTTCAAATGTCAAAAACATTCTTTTGAGGTTATGTTATTTGCCTCTCTTTTGTGGTAGTACTATTTTGTAATATCTTTTAAAGAATATTCCTTTTGTAATTTCGATTCGCGTTTAAACTGCAACCTATGATTATTATTATGAGCAAAACTTTTCGAGCAATTGAATATTAATATAATAAACAAGAAATGTCTATAATAAGAACTGGATTGCAAAGATTTGCTAATATATTTAGTACTGGTCCAGGTAACATTTCTTTCTTGTATTACTGACAAAATTTAACCTGTGCTGTATTTGCCATTAGACCGTATAGGTTGCTACCTATGATTGGCAGATACAAGGTAGATTTTGCAAACATAGATTCATATAAACTTTTAATTCATTTTTCATTTTACACTTTTATTTAATTATTCAGTCAAACACTGCAATAACTACCTTACCTACCCATATACATAACTATCAACATAATCTAGCTAAATAAATACTCCTTCCTTTCTAGAAGGACAGCAGTACTTCAAATAGCCTAGAAAAATATAAATGTGGCACTGGCTTTTAACTTTGCGTTGCTACTGTGATTTTCAATTTTTTTATGCCACAAAGGTAACAGATGGCTCATCTGATGGTAAACGGTTACTGTAACCTATGCCTACAAATACTCAGGATGTCATGTATGTGTTGCCAACTCTGAAGAAACCTTAATGTACCCTTTTTGAAAAACCCCATACTGTAGTCTCTAGGGAAAATCTTTGTAGGGAGCTCATTCCACAACCTGAAGGTTCAGGGAAGAAAATTCTTTTAAAACTACTGTACATAACCATGTTTTAATGCAAAAATTTCAATATTACAGCATGTTTTATGTATTTAAAATTTCACACAAATCCATTCAAGCAAACTTGTCCAAGTCCAATTTTGAGATTAATATTTTTAGTAATGTGTGACACAATTACAAATAAATGTTAAATTTATTCATTCCAGGGGGTATCTTATCAAGATTTGTAACAAGTCTAGCACCAGAAGAAAACAAATCTACACCAAAAACAACTAAAGATGTGATTGCCACTTGCAATAAATTAATAGAAGAAAATAAGTCAAGAAATTTTGCTATTATTCATTTGCTGGGAAAACAGTGGCGTGTGACAGACGGTGACCTTCTTGTGGTAGAAGGTTATTGGCCACCAAATATCGGAGATCAAATAAAATTAGAAAAGGTGTTACTTGCTGGATCAAAGGACTTTTCTCTGATTGGTCGACCACTTGTACAGCCAGGACTAGTTAATGTGACAGCCACAATAATCTCCAAGGGCCTCTCACACACACGAACACATTTCAAAAAGAAGAGGAGGAAGCAATATATGAGAATCAACTTCCAGAGAGCACAGCAAACAATGCTTCGAATAAACTCAGTTGAAATTGCTAATAAGATCAATGAGCCTGCTAAAAATGTATTTTAAAAATAATACTAAGTATGCAACTACTGTACCTATGAATAGTCAATAAAACTAGTTAATAGTTCATATTTTTTTATTATTTCACATTCATATACATTATAAATTAAATTATATTATTTATCTAGAAACTTCATGTCAGTCATTAAAATTTTACATTATCACAGTACTCTTGAAAAAGATTTTTATGTTCATCTTTTAAAAATCTTTTCATACCTTTAAATAAATAAAACATTTTCCTATTTTCCATTATGCTTTTTAAAATATTTATAAACTGTGTATAGTCACCATCTTTCTTATACGCAGAGATAGATAACTGAAACTGTTTGTATTGATCTGCTTGGAGTAATGTTTTAATTTCTTTTACAAAATCTATTAGTGAAGTAGGTGCTATTTTTTCTACAGGATCACCCAATATTTCAGAACTTCTCAGGTTTTCCTCAAATCCAAATGGTTTAATTTTTAATTTCTTTTTCTTAGCCATTACTACATCTTGAATTTCAACAATATTCCTTTTGTGAATATTGACTAGAGATTGTGATGTTGACTGACCAGATTCATTATTGCAATCTAATGCACTGAATAAATCCTTTGCTTCTTTCAGTTTAAATTCATTCATATATGTAGACTGTGCATTCTTGTAAAAATCCATCGAAAAATTTGCATACACTTCATTTGAATTGGGATATTGATTTACTACTTTTTTACTAGTACTTTTGTGTAAGACTCTAGAATTGGTGGTAGGAAATGATACCCCAGTGACATTAGTAACCATGTTTTCCTTGTAACCTATATTTGATTCATGAGGCAACAAAGGCTTCAGTTTTGGAGGTGGTAATGATGATTCTGCATTTTTGAAAAATCTGCATATCTCACTGACTGTCTCTCCGAACTTATTAGATACATTAATATGATCTCTTAACCAAGCAGACAATTGGCTTTTCAGTTTTGGACTATTAAATCTACTATCACAAAGTAAGATTGCACCATAATCATTTTGATGCCTAATGACTCTGCCTATAGCTTGGTTCACTGCCCTTGTGGCTTCTAAAGAATACCACTCATCTCCAGAAAGAAAATCTTTTTCCTTTGTACGAAGTTCTTCCAAATATTTTTTCTTTAAGATTATTCTAGGATCTCGAAGTGGTGGAAATGGTAATCCAGTAATAATAACAGCTCTTCCATTCATATCAGCAAAATCTAAGCCCTCAGAAACTTTACCTCTACAAACTGCCAAAAAACAAGCCCCTTTAGTACTGGGGTCACTTATTTTTGAATAGTAATCATTTATTACAGTATTAAATGTATCCTTTCTCTGTGGCTCAACAAAAATTGGTTTTATATTATTTATACTTGACCAAATTCCTTCTGCTTGCCACATTTCCTGGCATTTTGACATAATAGGATATGATGGGAAAAACACCAAAAGTCCATCTGGCACAACTCGACAAAAACTTAATATTGTTCTACCTAGAGAAGAAATATATTTAGGATTGTCTCTATTCTGATAACTTGAATTTAGTTGTGTACAATCAGGACCCTGGCTAATAATTTTTACACATATTTGATTACTCTTGATTATATGAGGATTTTCCAACTGTACCCCAATAGGAATACCCAATTCTGATATTAATGGTTTCAAAGGTGCTAAAGTACCACTGGTCAATATTATACTTCTGACGTTTTGTTCTACTAATTGTTTCATACCAAAACCAGGACTAAAGCACCAATAACTTAATACACGTTCTGCAGTTTTAGAATTTGTTGCTTTCAAAGTTCCCCAGCTGTCTGACTTTTTATGATTCTTTTTATCTTCCACTTGTATGTGAACTTTATAACACAATTTAACTCTCTCTTTATAAGCATGAGTTGTACCACTGTATACAACATTTAATAAATCAACAATTTTCTGCAACCCAACACCCTTGCGCTGAAATGGAGATGCACTAGCAGTTGACAAATATTGAATGAGGTTACCTATTAATGTTATAACAGCCATTTGATTATGATCCTTGATTTCAGCTTTTGATAGCAGTTCAAATATAAATCCACCTGGGTAAGTAGCACCTTCACTGCCCACATTAATTTCATCAATTGCTTTCTCCAATGCCAACATCATTTCTTTTAATACACACAAGTCATCACATGTAAAATCTTTAGCCTGACTATTTTCAACAGTTGCCTCCATTTGGTCCTCACTATTCTCACTGAATGATCTCATGACATGGGTTATTTCATCAATACAAAGAGCAACATCAGTTGTTCTAACCTGCAATGATGCTGACTCCTCACACATCTTTTCAACATTATGAGCTTCATCCAGTATCACAATATTATTCATAAGCTCCACACCATTGGCTTTTCTTGATTTAGGATCTAAGATATAATTATAAGGCATAAATACAATATCTGCGTCTTGCTTCAATTCCTTTGACAAATAATAGGGACAACATTTTAACTTTTTTCCTACAGTCACTAAGTCTTCTATGTCCAATATATCATCACCTTTCACAGCTCTATCATCTTTTTTGGACTCAACATTGTTATAGAAATGACAGGTTCGAGATTTAACCTTCAACTGGCACATGTGAACCTTATTAGTATTGTTGGTCTCCTTCGAAACTTCTGGATGTATACACATTTGATCTCGAGAGCCCAGAACAGCAGCTTTTACATGTCTATAGCTAGATCTTTTCAACTCTTGCATAGCCTGAGTAAGCTGTGAATGAGTTCGAGAAGAATAAATAATTTTAGGCATTCCCCACGACACATTATCCTTTCCTTTCCCCGCACCTGACTTTAAACTATCTTTCAAAGGCCCACTGAAACCGCTGTGCTCCGAAAAATTGCCAATTTGCGCGTTCATTTGTAATTGAGCCTTTTTTACCAATAACCATGCCAAAGATGAACAAAGTAAACTCAAAGTCTTTCCTGTTCCTGTAGGAGACTCCAACAAAGCATTAGTATTGTTTTGTAAACTTTCAATTACTTTTTCCATATATGTTTTCTGTACCTCATACGGTTCAAATGGAAAATTAACCGGTATACCAGCTATCATTACTTCCGGCATTTTATATGATTAAATACCACTGACAAAATAATTTTCAATATATTATTATTATTATTAAAACATGTTATTTTATAAAAACAGTCAATTACAAATTAATAATTAGAATCAACTAGTGTACTGTTTGTTTATATTAATAAATTTATTAAATAGAAGACAGAAAAAAAGTTGAACCACTTGTCACTAAAAGATAAGACATAAAGGATAAGACAGCGCACTCCATACAAGCTATGTAAAACGACTTGGTCAGAAATATCTCACCAATTTACAAAAATTCTCCTTTATTCTCATTATGTTGGCCAGCCTGATTTTCACAAAGGAAACAAATAAGTTATAATTATATTATAGTTTGATAGTAGAAACGCGAATCATATGATAAAAAAAATATAAAATTATATGTTCCATTGCATATTCCGATGAATATTTATTTAGCAAAAATAAAACAAAAGATAACTTTCTTAAATATATTTATTATTTTGTCCAATATTACCAAATCAAAATTTTGTAATATTATTGATATTAAACACAAGTTTTCAACACTTCTCGTATTATCTGGTTACTTTCTAGAGTAGACCTCGTCGTAATTTCCATGTCAAAATAAAAAGTAACATTAAATACAAAATTAAAACTGTTCCACTAATAGTTTAGATGGCAGCCATTTACATAACAGTATTTTTATTAGTTAAATTGCCACTATTGTGAGTTCCTCTTTTATCTAAACGTTGGCGTGATGTTACTGTTACCTGACCAAATTCATGCATTAAAAACTAGTATGGAAGTTACGCAAGATTGTACTCCATGAACATTTTACCGCCAAAATAATAGATACGTTCCGTTTCCATAATCTATAAGTTATAATAAATCTGTAGTGAGGTCAATTCTGTACATGAAATATATTGCCAAAATAACTATCAGGGGAGGATTAGTGATCGATACTAATGTCAAAAATGCAAACAGTAAAATTTTTGTCTGTCTGTTTGTATGTTCGTTAAGAAACAAAAACTACTCGACGGATTTTAACGAAACTTGATACAATTATTCTTCATACTCCTGGGCAGGTTATAGTATATTTTTCTTTACGTTACGATCAATAGAAGCAGAGCAGTGAAGGGAAATGTTAAAAATGTCCACCCGCGCGACGTCGGGCCGGCCGCTAGTCTTAAAATAAAATACACGAGATAAAGCTAAAATTTATATTTATGATCTATCGACTATTATTATAACTATAGAGATAATAATTATTAAAATATATTATTACTTTTTAGTGTTATATATACACTGTTGTTGTTGTTTGTAGTTATAAATACTTATCAAGTTATTTAATATAAATCGATTATTAAAATTTATTGAAATTAACCAAGTAAACGTGATTTTGATTTTGTGTTATACAGATGTCACAATTTCCCATACTGAGTATCTAAGTTAAGCTTCATCTATTTTTAATTGATTAAATTGACATTTTTGTCTGCTTTATTTTATTTATTGATAATATATGGAGGCTATTAAAAAGATTTTAAATGTTACTTCATAGTCACTAGTGACTTTGACATTTTGCTCGCGAAGCCGTCAATTTGTTAAAACGTCGTCACCATATGACATACAATAATAATAACCTATAAACTTAATTAATTAAAGTTTAAAAATTATTGAATAAAACTGTTTATTCCATGTGAATTTACATCTTAAAATATGAAAGTGTCTGTGGACCAAGTATACACATCAGTTGCCTGCAATCGCATACCAGAAATAGTTGATTGGAACAACGAAGGAATTATTTGTTTTGGTGCAACAAATGCTGTTGTTATTTACGATACAGTATGATCAGTTTTAAATAATACATAAGTTTTACAAATTTCAACTTTTTTGAACAATTTTTTTTATACAACTATGATCAGGAAACAGACTGAAGCCTCATTTTATGCACCATTGACATTACAAGAATACACTAATAATTTCTTATTTCCACATGTTAGATGTGTACACTGTTTTAAAACGATATAATATTGGTATTACGTACTTTTTAATTCAATTTTTAAACATACTTTTTTTTAATTAATTTAATTTTTTTAGACTGTAAAAGGCAAAGATCCTCTCACTACACTCTGCCATCATCGATCCATAGTGAACTCAGTTAAGTGGATCCATAAAGTTAATGGTTCATGTACAGAACTGGTATCATGTTCTGCTGATAAGACTGGTGCCATATGGAGTTTAGAAGATGGAGTGTGGAAGGTGACAAGCACACTCACAGGCCATACAGATGGTGTTACTTGTGTTTCTGCTGTTTACACAAGAGAGAATGACTTAGTAGTATATACTGCATCTATAGATTCCACTATCAGAGTATGGGAGAGGTGTAATGGTATGTTATTATATTTGATAATAAAAATTATTAAGAGTTTTATAAAACAAATAATTAAAAAAAAAGTAGTCTAGTTAAAAAGTTTACCCTTCTTTGCATATTGGTGGAAATTTCCATCATAACATTGAATGCCCAAAAATTATATAAAAGAACAATTTTACATTAAGTTGATCATGTCTGGATACCTTTTTAATGTCTATTGCAGAAAAAAAAACCATAGCTGTCAAATTTATTTTTTAACCATTTTTCCTTTAATTTTGAAATGAATTGTATCACCTTGATTTATATGACCAATAAAAAAAAAATGCAAAAAAGGATTAATGTTGCTGCTGTTAAAATTTAATTAAAGGTAAATACTTTTTAGTTTTGTTTAATAATAATAATTATAAAGTCTCATAATTTTATTAACAGTCATCATCACTGTTATCATCTTATCACCCATTAACTGTTCATTGCTGAACATAGCCCTTCACCTATAGGGGACCAGTAATTGACAATAGGAATAATAGACATTTTTTTTTCAGGCACTACAACACACAGACAAACAATAGACCTACACTCTGGTCTATGCCTCACATTGCATGCTCATCTACTGCCGGTAGTGAACAAACCGGTACTGTTCAGTGCACTGGACGATCACAAGATACATATATTCGCTGGTGATGACTATCACAGAGTACACACACTTGTTGGACACGAAGATTGGGTGAGGGGATTAGATGTTTTGGATATTGGTAAAGTCTATATTTTTAACTATCATAATATTGTTACGTATTACTGTTATTACTAATGTAAAATTATTCATATGTAGATTTTTTTTGAGTCGGCCTTTACAGGCGAACACAGAACACTTTCTCAAAATGTCATTACAATTTCGTCAATGGTTTAAGAATGCCTTGAGGATAAATATACAAACATTTTTTTATTCTAATAGGTGTAATATTATTATTAATATTATAAATATCCTTTATAGCACTAAAACATACAGTAGTAATAATGACGGAAACAATTTAAGTAAAAAAATACTAAATAGTAAAATATAAATATATAAGTTTTTAACACGTTCGGTGCGAGTGTCGAGTATGCCTCGACGGAGCTTATCCCTTCCCCCGGCCTACCGCCGAGGGTGCCTCGACGCTGGGTTTTTCATTTCAAATCCCGCCAAGGAAATTCCTTTGCTGGCGCGTGTGCCGACTACGCCTCGACAAAGCTTTTTTTAATTGAAAAACGTAATTATAATTTTTTTAAATATTTTATATGTGTATTTGGGTGCAGAAGGAATATTTTAAGAAAAAAAAAGTGCTCGCATTTCGGAAGACCCCGGCAAATACAGTGCCGCACCGAACGTGTTAAACATGTTTCAATGTTTATTACCTCATTATAATGCAATCGTTGAATTAATAAATACATAGATACCCTTTATTGTTTCGTCCAAAAGATTACAGTAGTAAACTTATTATAAATAGATACAAACAATTTCAAATAATATTCACACTAAAAAAACAATAGGTGGCCTTATGGCTAAAAGTAAGCGTGAGCAGTGTTGCCATTCCATTATTAAGGATTAAAAAATGTAGTAGTATGAGGCATTTATTATTTTATTATTATATATTCAGGTTTTATTATTATTTATATAGATAATTTATTATTTATTTAGGTTTAGGTACATTTCACTAGTCTTATTAGAATCCAATAAGACAAGCCTGTCACTATAAAAATATATACTAATATTCCACAGATAATTCCACAATATTATTGGCATCCGCCTCCCAAGACACGTACATCAGACTGTGGCGAATCCAGCATCATGTCGAAGAGCCCACAACAGGCGGAATTCGAGTTGAACAGAAACTGTTCGTGGCTCATGAAACCAACTGGTCGGTGAAGCTGGATGCAGTGCTGGCGGGACACGAGGGATGGGTGTACGGAGTGCAGTGGCATCCATGTAGATCTGATAAAGGTAGGAATTATTAGCATTGCTGTGGAGAAACCTTATTAAAATTTCAAAGCAAATTATAAAGTCTATTTGCATAGTGTAAAAACTCTTAAACTGAAATAATTTTATTATATTGTTTTTCACAGATACAAACAAAAGATTGCCAGTGTTCAGACTTCTGTCCTCATCTCTGGATAAAACACTTATAGTGTGGGAGCCAGACTCATCCCCTACACGTGGTGAGGGAGAGGGCGCGTGGGTGGAAAGGATACGGGTGGGCGAAGTGGGTGGGAATGGTCTAGGGTTCTATGGCAGCAGGTTCGGACCCAATGGGAAATCATTCATGGGACATGGGTACAATGGATCATTCCATATTTGGTCAGTCTGTGAGGTAAGCAATGTTTTAAAATAGTCCCATAGTGATAATAAAATGTATATATATATATATATATATATATATATATATAAATAAGTTAATAACAATGTTAGCAAAGGCGAACATATCTCTAAAAGAGATTTCTTCAAGTTAACCTAAAACAGTGTCATAGGAAGTAATCTTTCCTTCTGGAACATTCCAGGAGACAGGCCAGTGGGAGCCTCAGGTGGTATGCGGCGGCCACTTCGGAGGAGTACAAGCCGTGCGGTGGGAGGCACGCGGCCGCTACCTGACCAGCGCCGCCGCCGACCAGACCACGCGCCTGCATGCACCTTGGCTGCTGCCTAATGGTAAGACATTACTACCGTATTGCCAACTCTTGCAAAATAGGGGAGGGAGGGATTGTAAGCAATGGAGTTTAACAGCCCATCATTGCTAGCAATATGCCCTATCAGGTCAACCTCCACGTGGTTCCCCCTGGAAACCACCGTGAGCAATTCTCGTTGAATTCATCACGATGGACTAACTGACCTGTTTCATCCTTACCTATCATCCTTCACTGGTGCCCCGCCGGTGTATGCCGATAGCGCGGGTCGGGTTACTATATCATTATCACCTATAAAAAAACTCTTGTAAAATAGCAAGAAAGGACTTGTTAGCAGTGCAGACTACAGATCGCATTGCTAGCAATATACCTAGTCAGATCGACCTCCACATGGCCCCCCCCTTAAAACCTACGTGCTGAATTCCAAGTATATTTATCATGACGGGCTAACTTTTCATTGTCACCTGTCATCCCTTACTGGTGCCCCGCTAGTGTATACCGTTAGTGCAGGAGGGGTTACCATTCCATTATCATCCATTAAAAAATCCTTGTTACATACATATTTTGAATATAATTTCATGATATAAATTCTAACTTATAAAATTTTCATAGTTCTACCGCTTGTATAAAACTGTGCTCAGAGGAATTGTTTAACATGATGCCCGCAGCCACCTTTTACCATCATACTACTTACCAACGACAGGGAATTCCGCCTCATACCTTAAAATAGGATAGTTGCATACTACGCGGTTTCAGAGACGCTTCATTCCAGGAGTGAACTTTCTGACGAGGTTTTCCCAAGACAGCATGGAGTTCTTCAAAACAGGAGTAAAATAAAACAGTAATTTACAAGTTACTTTTTTATTTTAATATTGTTTTTGTTTTCTATTTATTTGCTCATCACGTTGCACTGTCAAATTATATTTTCTGTTATTGCTGTCTATGGTCAAGTCCGCCATTTACACTATGTAGGTGTATTAAAGTTTCATAAATAAATAAAAAGGTTTCTTCAGAGTTGGCAACACCATTGGGGTCATAGACTACAGTAACTGCTTACCATCAGGTGGGCTGTGGGTTGTATGCTTGTTTGCCATGTCAATGCTATAAAAATAATTAATAAAAATTGTTCCATCCATATTACAGGTCAAGGTACAGAATGGCATGAAATCGGCCGTCCCCAAGTGCACGGGTACGATATGGCGGGCCTGGCAATAGTATCCAGCACTGTGTACGCATCAGCGGCCGAGGAGAAGGTGATCAGGGTGTTTCGCGCGCCGCACAACTTCCTGCAGAACTTTAAAAATATCGTGGGAGAAGAGCTGGATGGTGACACGGAAGGTAAGATTGTATTAAATAAATAAATATATATTAAAAATAAATATTGGCCAAATACCTAACCTGCTGTATGGTCCCGGCATAGAATAAACCGTCCCTTTCAGGTTGACCTCCACGCGGTTCCCCCTGGAAACCATCATGTTTAATTCTTGTCGAATTCATCATGGTGGGCCAACTAACCTGCATTCATTCTCACCTATCATTTTCCACTGGTGCCTCGTCGGTGTATACCGATAGCGCGGGCGGGGTTACCAATTCATTTTCACCCAATAAAAAAAAAGACCATCCCTTCCATTGCCGTGGGCGTCGTAAGAGACGACTAAGGGAGGGCGAGGGATGGGCAGCAGCGTCCCTCTTGAAACATCAACTGTAACTCCTCATTTATGGGGCAGGCTTATGTTTAGCAGTATACAAGTAATGGGTGTATTTTGTTTTCTGTCGATTCCTGTCTATAAGAGCCATGGATATGGTACAGCAGGACTATCTGACACAGGCTTTAGTAAGCCAATCTTATATATTTTTTTAATGGGTGATAATGGAATAGTAACCCCGCCTGCGCTATCGGGATACGCTGGCGGAGCACCAGTGAAGGATGATAGGTGAGAATGAAGCAGGTCAGTTGGCCCATCGTGACGAATTCAACAAGAATTGTTCACGATGGTTTCCAGGGGAAACCACGTGGAGATCGACCTAATAGGGCATATTGCTAGCGATGGGGCTGTCAAACTCCATTGCTAACAATCCCTTTCCCCCCGCCAATCTTATATTGTTATTTTTTTTCGTTTAAGAAATAAACTTGTTTTTAATTTTTTTTTTACATATATTAAACAGGCCCAGAGGGCGCGTCGGTGCCGTCACTGGGCCTCTCCAACAAGGCGGTGTTCAACGACACCGAGCAGGCAGAGGACGACGGGTACTTCGTGCCTGTTGACCTGAAAGGTGAGTGCGGTCGGCATAGAAAACCCTGATCTAATCAGAGTCATGTTAAAAAGAACATGGCATATAGCTAAGTGGCATCATTTTAGTGTTTTTTTTTTTTTTTACTTTTTGTTCATTTCTGTTTATTAAATATTTTTATGTAATCAAGTGTGAATTAAGCACTAAATAAATATTTTTTTCTTTCTTTTTATTTCTTCTTTAATACATCTACATTCTTTTTTTATATCTAGTAAAAAATCTTAGTACATAGTTTGTACCAAAGTTCTAAAAAGTAACTATTTTTTTTATGGATGAAAATGGTATGGTAACCCCGCCTGCGCTAACAGGATACGCTGGCGGAGCACCAGTGAAGGGTGATAGATAAGAATGAAAACAGGCCAGTTAGCCCATCATGATGAATTCATTAGGAATTAACCATAATAGTTTCCAGGGGGAACCGCGAGGAGGTCGACCTGGTTGGGTATATTGCTAGCAATTGGATTCTCAGTGTCCATTACAAACAATCCCTTTCCCCACAAAAGTGCCTATTAGATACCAATAAGTTACTTATTACATTTAGGTATAACTACATAAATTTAAGTTTGAAAAGGTACAATCAAACATACATGGCTGTTAAGCCTGTCTCCCGTTGATTAATTCAAATGCTCGCCCTTTATAGGCACTTTTAATTTGGCCCTTATTTTAATTTATAAAGATTTTAAGATATTAGCCAATTATGTTGAAATGGCTGACCCAATTTCGTTCAAATCCGTCCAGATATGAACGAAATTGGGTACACTGGGTACATTCTAAGTTAACGTATAAAATTCCTCTTGCGTGTGGAGATACGAAGGCTCATCTCCCGGATGGTTCACAGCGCCACCTACAGAGGAGACGCTGCAGCAGAACACGCTGTGGCCGGAGACGCACAAGCTGTACGGGCACGGTTACGAGGTGTACGCGCTGGCCGCCACCACCACCAGCCCCGGGCTGCTTGCCTCCGCCTGCCGCGCCACCACCGCCGAGCACGCCGCCGTACTCATTTGGTACTCATTTTTAGTAACTGACAAGCATATGTGTATTAAGTGTAGAAAGAGGATGCTGGCTAGGCCTTTTTAGAGTTTCATACCTCAAAAGTGTGTAATACTGTGTGGTCCCGGCATAGAATAAGCCTCTCTTTCCCGTTGGTGTCACAAGAGTTGAATAAGGAAGAGCGAGGGATAGACAACAGCGTCCCTCTTAAAACATCTCCAAAGCGTGAATGGCGTGAATTTACTGGATACAGAGGAATAACACCTCAGTCACGATCAATAGGAGCAGTGAAGGGAAATGTTAAAAATGTCCACCCGTGCGACGCGGGGACGGGCCGCTAGTCTACAGTATTTCTGACAAATAAATTTCATTCCATTTCATTTCAACAGGGAGACAAGCAACTGGCAGCAAATACAGAAGCTCGTCTCGCATCAGCTCACGGTCACGCAGCTCGAGTTCTCGCCAGACGGCCTCCGCCTACTGTCAGTATCGCGCGACCGTCGCTGGACCTTATACCAGAGGCAGGAAGGTTCGAAGTGGTTTGACACGGTCGCCACTACCGACAAGAGTAACGGAGTCCACGCGAGGATCATATGGTGCTGTGCGTGGGCGCACGACGGCCGCGTGTTCGGTACTGGCTCCAGGGACGGGAAGGTGGGTATCTCTATCGAGAAGTCAATAGAATATTTTTTTTTATACTTAGCTTTTTTCATAATTGGGCATTTATACTTAATTTACCAGAGGAAGACTTTGTACAAAAGTCGATTACTGTATTCTGCAGTATTTGTAAGGTTTCTTTCAGATTGTTTTTTTTATGCCACTGAGGTGGCAAACAAGTATACGGCCCACCTGATGATAAGAGGTTACCATAGCCTATGAACACCTGCAATGCCAGGTTATTACCCGCGCGTTGCCGACCTCAAAGAAATCGCGCTTGTGGGAGGAAGCATCTCTGAAACTGTACTATAGGCAAACATCCAAGCTCTAAAGTATAGAGGTACGGTTTGAAGGGTGGGATATGGCGTGAATTTACTGGGTACAAAGGAATAACACCTGAGTCTTCAGGAATGGCAACGCATGGGGGGTATCATGGGCGAAACAGTATACTCTGTTATGTCCATGGTACTAAGGCTGATATGATACGCTCGTAAGGGTGTATAATTAATATTTTAATTTCTAATTGTGTAGGTGTGCGTGTGGTCGAAAACGGAATGTCAGCCGAATCCACAGTCGTCCCTCGGGCAGTACGCGCTCCATGGCAAGCCTCTCGAACTGGCCAACACATCAGTAACGGCTCTAGCATTTGCACCGACGCTACTCGGTGACGCTAGAGTGGTCGCCACCGGGTTCGAATCCGGCGTCGTGAGATTGTACAGTTTTCAAACTGACGGATGGAGTTTATTGTACGAATTGAATAACAGGTGCGTACTCGATTGTTGGCCGTGTGGTCCCGGCATAGAATAGACCAGGGGTTCCCAAACTTATTTTGTCTATTGCCCACTTTGAGAATAAATTGTTTTTTAACGCCCCCATTTTTTCACCTACTTCAAAATTACTATTACTTCAAGATCAACAAATCATCCTCCAAGTCTCTACACAACGCCCTCATTTTTTTTCTGGATCTCTTACCGCCCCCCTTTAGGTTTGCAGCGCCCACAAGGGGGCGTTATCGCCTACTTTGGGAAAGGCTGGAAAAGACCATCCCTTCCTTTCCCATGGGTGACGTGAGAGATGACTAAGGGAGTTTAATTGTAGAGAGATAGGGAACAGCGTCTCTTTTAAAAAACCACTAAAAGCCTATTTTTTTTTAATGGGTGATAATGGAATGGTAACCTCGCCTGCGCTATCGGTATATGCTGGCGGGGTACCAATGAGCAAAGCTCAGGTGAAGGTGAGGATGGAAAGACAGGTCAGAGTCAGCCCATCGTGATGAATACACCTGGAATTCAACACGATGGTTTCCTGGAGAACCACCTGGAGGGCGATAGGGTATACTTTTTTTTATACAACTTAGAATGGCAAAAAAGCTGACGGCCCACCTGATGGAAAGTGGCAACCGTCGCCTATAGACATGAGCAGTACCATGAACATAACAGACTCACCTGCTTAATGGTAGATACACGTGTGAGACAAAACTTATTAACTTATTATTAATTACTAATTTATTGACCAATGTTTCGTTCACAGCGCGGCTCACCATCTCACAGTGAAGCAGTTGGCATTCCGCCCACGACACGAGGACGGCGACGACAAGCGGCTACTGTTAGCGAGCTGTGGCAGCGACCATCTCGTCCGGATACACAGCGTTGCGATATCTTGACCGCAATAAACATGTTGATGTCCATTTGTGTTTTATTTATTCATTTCTTAGATTCGATAGAGCATCGAGCCTCAAAAATGGCTGACTCGTTTTCTTTTTTGTCAGTGTTCTATATACTTACGCATAAAATGTATCTTGACGTATTATTTAATAAATTAAGTGTTTATAAATTAAAAAGATGCAGAAATTATAAGACAAAATAAATGTAGAAGTTACAAAGGAATGACTCATAACTATTTATGACGCAAAATTTTATGATAAAGTTGAGCCGCTTTTCTCGAAGCATTTCTTCTATGGCAACACTATTTATATAATCTAAGATTCAGTTATAATCATTCACAATTGGCAGTATATAAAATATATATCCTATTACCTCTCACTTTAGTACTATTTTCCTGTGTTCTCTCTTCGTTTTCCTTCGTCATTTTTTTTTTCTGTTGTATGTGTGCTGTTAAGTATGTGTATGTTATGTATATATTTAATTGTGTATATATTATATATGTATGTGTATATATGTTTGTATATGATAATATTTATATAATAGTGCGCCCCCTACCCTTTGTCTTTTTCTCAATGTCCTCTACCCAAAGGTTGTCTGGACGAGATTGCTTAGCGATAAGGCCGCCTTTTGCATCACTTCTCATTAATATTTACTGTATTTGTTATTTCTCTTTTTACTTGGTATAATAAAGTGTTAAATAAATAAATAAAATAAATATTTAATAAAATGATAATATACCAATTAATATTCGGTCACCGTTTAGGTCCCGGCATAGAATAGGCCACCCCTTCCTTTCCCATGGGTGACGTAAGAGGCGACTAAGGGAGGGCGAGGGATGGGCATCGTCCCTCTTAAAATATGCTCAAAAGCTTAACTGCTGTTGCCAACCCGCCTGCCAAGCGTGACAACTATTGACAAAACCTCTTATGAGGAAAGCTTATGCCCAGCAGTGGACAGTTAACGGCTGAATTATTGTGATTATTTCTTTTTATTATTAACTAATAAGAATCGTCAAAACTATATTCCAATATTTGTCCGTATGTTTATCCGGAACCACGTTAAAAATATTGTACCAAATGATATGCGATTTTCGCACTTTGAACTTAAAAACGTGTTTTAATATGCACTCTAAAAGAAATGTATTGTATTGATTTTCCTATTTCCAAAACGCAAACGAAGTCACAAACAGAAGTTAATTATACATAAAAAATGTAGACGAGTAAAATGTTAATTTTTTTTATACTAATAATGGCAAACAAGCTGACGGTCCACCTGATGTAAAGTGGTAACCGTCGCATATAGACATGAGCAGTACCATGAACATAACAGAATATACTGTTTCGCCCATGATACCCCCCATGCGTTGCCATTCCTGAGGACTCAGGTGTTATTCCTCTGTACCCAGTAAATTCACGCCATATCCCACCCTTCAAGTCGAAACACAGCCATGCAAATACAACTGCTTCACGGTAGAAACACGAATGGGACAGAGGTACACATGCAAACGACTTTCGTACAAAGTCTCCCTTTGGTAGAATTGTCATTGTAATTCTGGTAATTGCTAAGTAATAAAATTTTACCATCTAAAAGCGAATGAATTAGCCAGCGATAAAAATCCGATATAATATTATCTGACAGCGTATTAAAAATCAATCAGAATTTATGAAATAATCGTGTTTATACTAATTCCTATAAGATAAATTTAACTGTCATAGTATTATTATTTTTAGTACTTAAGTAAAATTTTTATTACCAAATACAGGGTTGCAGTGTTACATATTTTGTTTATGCGTTTACAATTCATAACTATTACCACGTTATATGTGTTATTTAAACTAAGAAGGTACTACTACATCATAGTTGTAATTTTTTTTTAATGGATGGAAATGAAATGGTAACCCCGCCTGCGCGGGGGGAAAGGGATTGTTAGCAATGGAGTTTGACAGTCCCATTACTAGCAATATGAACACGAATAGGACAGAGGTACCCGAGCAAACGAATTTTGTACAAAGTCTGGTAATAAATAAATAATAGACAAATAACAAATTTAATCAGTTTATTCTTTTTAGTAAACAGCAATATCGATCAACATCAACATTTATACATTTTGTGTACCCATTACACGTTCCGTTTTAAGGCATCTGACAGTAGCTAAATGCAAATAGCTGTATAAATTTATTCCTTAACATACAATAAAATTTTATAAAAATATATTATAAATCACAATTGTAACATGCACCTGTACTACGTACAATTTAAAATTATTCATAATAATAGATCATATTTAAAATGCATCCAATTATAATTTTTTTAATATCTAAATAATGAAAATCACGTAAACAAATGTAAATTTTATACAATTTTTGCATTCTCAAGTGTATCACAATTTACGGAAGACATTTTATTCTAGTCACGGATCTCTTTTTTACAAACAAACATTTCTTTTTATATACAACTTAGAATGGCACACAAGCTGAAGACCCACCTGATGGAAAGTGGTCGCAGTACCATGGACATAACAGAGTATACTGTTTCGCCCAAGATACCCCCCATGCGTTGCCATTCCTGAGGACTCAGGTGTTATTCCTCTGTACACAGTAAATTCACGCCATATCCCACCGTTCAAACCGAAACACAGCCATGCAAACACAACTGCTTCACGGTTGAAACACGAATGGGACAGAGGTACTCAAGCAATCAACTTTTGTACAAAGGCCCCCTCATATCACAACATGGCCATATAACCTGTTTTCTATATAGCAAATAAAATTCGTGACTTAGATTGGTTAACATAGATTACCTTTACCAACAATAAAACTAAATTAATTTATTATAACAAATTATTGAGTATAAACTATGAAATATTAATATCAAATAATCATCAATTGGCCGTGTGGTCCTGGCATAGAATTAGCCACCCCTTTCTTTCCCATAGGTGTCGTAAGAGGCAACTAAGGGATGGCGAGAGATGGGCAGTAGCATCTCTCTTAAAACATCTCCAAAGCCTAACTGCGGTTGCCAATCCGCGTGCCAAGTGTTGCAACTACTAGCAACACCAATGGGAAGGTTTATATTCAGCGGTGAACAGTTAAAAGCTTATATGATGATGATGAAGATGATTAATCATCGATTACCAAATTTTTTTTTTATAAATGGGGAAATTAACCATTTTTATAGATTAAAAAAAAATATGTAAAAATTCATTACTATATGTACATATTTTACAATACTAAAATATCAGGGGGAAAAGGGATTGTTAGCAATAGAGTTTGACAGCCCCATTGCTAGCAATATGCCCTATTAGGTCGACCTCCACGTGGTTCCCCCTGGATGCCATCGTGAACAATTCTTGTTGAATTCGTCACGATGGGCTAACTGACCTACTTCATCCTCATTTATCATCCATCGCTGGTGCCCCACCGGTGTATACCGATAACATAGGCGGGGTAACCATTCCATTATTACCCATTAAAAAAAATACTAAAAAATCTGCATATACCTGAAATATAAACAATCCTCTAATCGTAACATATTTTATACAAGAAATGGAGATTATAAAATTAAATAACGCAATAAATCATTCGAAAAGACCACTTGTAATGTTAATTTGCTTAATCACCTTTCTTCAATATTTTTTTTTTATACATCTTAGAATGGCAAACAAGCTGAAGACCCCCCTGATTGAAAGTGATAACCGTCGCCTATAGACATGAGCAGTACCATGGACATAACAGAGTATACTGTTTCACCCATGATACACCCCATGCATTGCCATTCCTGAGGACTCAGGTGTTATTCCTCTGTACCCTATAAATTCACGCCATATCCCACCCTTCAAACCGAAACACAGCCATGCAAACACAACTGCTTCACGGTTGAAACACGAATGGGACAGAGGTGCCCAAGTAATCGATTTTTGTACAAAGTCTCCCTCTGGTCGATGTATTCATACGAAGTATTCACAACATGTCAGCAACTCAACTACAATTCTTGGAGTCCTTGCCTTTGAAGAGCTTCCGGACTTTCCGGAACACTCCATTCTTCTTCTTCTCCCTGCCGTGCGTGCTGAAGTCGCTGATGGAGCCGCTATCGTCTGGGTGCGTGATGACTATATTGGTCGTGTCCATGTCGCTCATGCTTGCGCTCTCGCTGAGCTGCGAGCCCGACAGCAAGTAGTCGCTCACGCTGCCCGACGACATTTCCGTTATATTCAGAGTAGACGATGAGTCGCACATGCCGTTCGTTCTATAAACATAATTAAATATAATTATTAAATTGTTTTCCCCGTGTGGTCCCGGTATAAAATGGGCCACTCTTTCTTCTTCCAAGAATGTCGTAAGGGGCGACTAAGGAAACTTATTGATCGAGGAATGGGCAGCAGCGTACCTCTTAAAACATCAAAGCCTAACTTTTGCTGACCCGTTTGCTAAACGTGACAATTACTGGCAAAACCTCCCCTATAGGGTTTTTTTAATGGATGGTAATGAAATGGCAACACCGTCTGCGCTAACGGTATACGCTGACGGGTCACCAGTGAGGGTGAGAAATGATAGGTGAGAATGAAAAGGCAGGTCAGTTAGCCTATCGTGATCTGCAACGATTCAAATACTGGCAGTCTGGACGGACCGCAAATACCCTTAGAATAGCGCTAGAGCTGTCCCAGACCCTACGCATCAGAGATGTGCACCGCTTTCGCATAGTAGCGTAGAAACAATTAACACACGCCTCGGCGAACATTCCCGACGCACTACAAAACCGGAACAACCCCAACAGCACCCTAAACGCATTATTATACTGGACTCGTAGGGCGCTGTAGTTTCTGAGTATAAAAAGCCACATAGACTACTTGTGTAAAAGAACGTTATACATAACTCCTAAAATCTCTGAAATGGCAATACCTGATATGTATGATCATCACAGTGTACCCTATTAAGTCCTTGGTACTATTCATGAGCGACAGTTATCATTTTCGATCAGATGGACCAATTTTTTTTTTATACAACTTAGAATGGCAAACAAGCTGACGGCTCACCTGCTGGAAAGTGGTAACCGTTGCCTATAGACATGAGCAGTACCATGGACATAACAGATTATACTGTTTCGCCCATAATACCCCCCCCCCATGCGTTGCCATTCCTGAGGACTCAGGTGTTATTCCTCTGTACCCAGTAAATTCACGCCATATCCCACCCTTCAAACCGAAACACAGCCATGCAAACAAATAATTTCAAGTTAGGTAACTTTAAAAAAAGAGCATATTCCTTTTTAAAAGGCCGGCAGCACACCTGCAATGCCACTGGTGTTACGAGTGATCATGGGCAGCGGTAGTCACTTACCATCAGGTGAGCTACACGCTCGTTTGCTCTCTGTGTTATAAAAAAAAATTATATGTACCTCGGTAGCCGGACCTGTCGCAGCGACTCGCTGAGTTTATCCCAAAAGTTGTACGGCGCCCACTTCTCCGGACGGTAGATGAGCTTGTGGTAGTAGGTCAGGTTGACAGGCAACCGGCACGGGCGATAGATTATCGGGATAATGTTGTGCTGCTTGGATTCTGTCCAAATTGTAAAACTAATTATTGCAAATATATTTTTTTAGTCAAAGGAGCCACCACTAGTGCCCACTACTGGGGGCAAGCGTTGATTGGTAATGCGGACTACCAGTCCCATTGCTAGCAATATACCCTGTCAGGTCGACCTCCACGCGGTTCCCCTAGAAACTATCGTGACAAATTTATAGTTGAATTCGTCACAATGGGCTAACTGATCTGCCTTTTCATCCTCACCTATCACCTCTCAATAGTACCATGCCAGTGTATACCGATAGCGCAGGCGGGGTTACCATACTATTTTCACCCATTAAAAAAAGTACCCACTACTGGCGGAGAAGGGTTTGTAATGATTTTTTAAATATTATTACTGGTAATAAAAATTATCTATCTATCTAGAAGTTTAAAAAAATAATGGCATGTCAAACTTACCAATACTGACGGCTTGTGCATAATCCGTGTAGAAGGTATTGGCGCGGCTACTGAGGAACGCCGGCGAGTACACCAGGATGATGCGGTGACATCGCTCAGAGATCAGCTGCGCGACCGGCGCGTACTGCGTCTCGTGCCCGGGCTCCAGGTCCAGGATCGTGCACAGCTGTGGAGCAAATCACAATCTTAATTCTTAAGTCTTAAAGAGCAATCTCATTCAAAATTGACAAAAATGGTTTAGTAAAACCATCATAATTCAGTCTTTAACTGCTCACTGCTGAACATAAACCTTCCCAACAACGAGAGCTCTGCCAATAGTTACCACGCTTGGCAAGCCAGTTGGCAACTACTGTAAGGCACCTAAAGATGTTTTAAGAGGGACGCTACTGCCCATCCCTCTACCATCGAGAAACCTAGTCTTTTTTGGATTAATATTTTGCTAAATGGCCGTGTAGGTCCCGGTATGGAATCCGCCACCCCTTTCTTTCCTGTGGGTGTCGTAAGAGGCGACTAAGGCAGGACGAAGGATGGGCAGAAACATCCCTCTTAAAACACCTCCAAAGCCAAACTGCGTTTGCCAATCCGCCTGCCAAGTATGGCAACTAGTAGCATAACTCCCAAGGAGACTTATAATCAGCAGTAGACAGTTAAAAGCTGATATGATGATACCGAGAAAGGAAAACGGTGAATGACGTGAAAATCGGTATCGAACCCTTAAGTCTTAGGAGAGATTTTGCCTCACTCTGAGTGTTCTTCCGCCTGTACAATGGATTGTGCTCAGAGGAATTGTTCAATATGATGCCCACAGCCACTTTCTAGCATCGTACGGCTCGCCATCGACAGGGAGTTCATCCTCATGTCCTACGGTCTCAGTGGTCGCGTATTGCGCGGTTTCAGAGACGTTTCCTCTCACGAACACTCAAGTTGTGGAATGAGTTCCCTGCCGAGGTTTTCCCAAGAGACTACAGCATGAGGTTCTTCAAAAGGGGAACAAAGAGGTTTCTTTAGGGTCATCAACGTACGCGTAATACCTCTGGTATTGCAGGTGTTCATAGGCTACGGTAACCACTTACCATCAGGTGGGCCGTATGCTTGTTTGCCACCTCAGTGGTATAAAAAAATATATGATGATAACATATGTATCAATTTATATCACATGTATTCGAACCTTGAACCCCTCAGCTCGCATCCTAGTCAGCAGTTCATTGACAAAGTCCCAATCCTCCTCGGCATACAGGACATACGCGTGGTACAGCTGCGGGAAGCCCTCGCGGCGGTCATCATACGTGATCACTTTGTCACGTTCATCTATCTCGGCCAGTTGATTGCTATTTAACGCCACCTGATTGTTTTTCGGCACTGGAAATTATAAAGGAGTTATTAGTAATTATCTTTGATGGGTGAAAATGGTATGGTAACCCCGCCTGCGCTAACGGGATACGCTGGCGGAGCACCAGTGAAGGGTGATAGATGAGAATGAAAACAGGCCAGTTAGCCCATCATGATGAATTCATCAGGAATTAACCATGATAGTTTCCAGGGAGAACCGCGAGGAGGTCGACCTGGTTGGGTATATTGCTAGCAATGGGATTCTCAGTCTCCATTACTAACAATCCCTTTTCCCCGACTATATTCAATTATAGATTTTACTTAATACAAAGTGAAATAGATATAATTTACATTTATACCCATTTTACATTTTTGGAACATATTTTTGTATCAAAATTAGTCATTAAAAAATAAAATATACATAAAATAATACTTAGAAAAAAGTTTTAGAAATTTGCTTATTCTATATTATGTACAAAAGTCGATTGCTTGAGTACCTCCATCCCATTCGTGTTTCTACCGTGAAGCAGTTGTGTTTGAATGGCTGTGTTTCAGTTTGAAGGATGAGATATGGCATGAATTTACAGGGTACAGAGGAATAACACCTGAGTCTTCAGGAATGGCAACGCATGGGGGTATCATGGGCGAAACAGTATACTCTGTTATGTCCATGATACATGGACTATGTCATGCTCATGTCTATAGGTGACGTTTACCACTTTCCATCAGGTGGCCCGTTAGCTTGTTTACCATTCTAAATTGTATAAAAAAAAATCTCTTATAAACCATAAATCATACACTGTGAAAGTCTGAATGTTAATATTTAAACAAATAAAACAAAACTAGAGGACTACTCCAGAATGATACCGCTTCTATAGTTCCATTAGTGTTTTTATATATATTTATATATTAAATTTGTAGTTATTAATAATTACATGAAGAGATACAAGAATGGTATGAAAAAAATTCAAATAATTCTTTTTCTTTTTTCAAATATACTATATGGCTTCTTTCCAGCCATTACCAAAAACCTTGTTTTCTGTTTCAATCCTTCTTTCTAATTATGCTTACATTTGTTCTCATAAACACTGTAAAAAATACTAACCAGTAATCCGGCCTCTTTTAATAAGATCCTGTAGGTCATCATACACATCATATCTGTCTATGAGCTGCAGATACTCCATCAGTTTCCCAAGCGTGGCTGTTCCATCTCGTTTTTGGCACCATAGGTCAATAACTTTTGCCGTCTTGTCTGCCAACCCATATATACTTTCAACTACCTCATTTGATATGTTAATTAGTGATGCTATGCCTCGCCAATCTCTGAAAATGTTTTTTTTTGTCAATATGTAAGTCTTAATATATTGTAAAATTATTTCTCTATACATGCCTGAGGATAATGTATTGAAACTAGTGAATTAGAATTTATTTATTTACTAGAATAACATACATTTTTATAATTGTTACATCAGAAGAAAATTAATCCAATCTTATACCGCCACAATGTAGGCGCAAATATTAAAACTTATTATATAAATATAAAAATAAACTCATTAGAATTACATATACACATAGCAGTAATATTTATAGTGTAAATTGCGATTGAGTGTAGATTACTTGGGTACCTGTGTCTCATTCGTGTTTCTACCGTGAATCAGTTGTGTTTTCATGGCTGTGTTTCGGTTTGAAGGGTGGGATATGGTGTGAAATTACAGGGTACAGAGGAATAACATCTGAGTCCTCAGGAATGGCAACGCATGGAGGTATCATGGGCGAAACAGTATATTGTACAGTATATAAACTGTTACGTCCATGGTACTGCTCATGTCAATAGGCAACGGTTACCACTTTCCATCAGGTGGGTCGTCAGCTTGTTTGCCATTCTAAGTTGTATAAAAAAAAACTATATTTCACTTGTGTTTTCAAATTGTCATTGTATATTTTTTGTGCAATAAAAACTTAAATAAGTAAATAAATTGATGAACAGTAAAAATACTATACAACACAAACAAAGCTGCAGGTACAGCTAGTTTTGAATAAATTTAGGTTTTTGCGGTATTTTCCTCATTCAGTATGTATTATAAGGTTTCTATCAAACAGTAATATACAGAGCACTATACTTTGCAGTAACTTTTATTTAATCGATAGTTTTATGCAAAACATAAATAAATAATAGCTTTTTAAAAAATACTACAAATAAATTGCGACTTCTTCCTATTAAGTATTTGACGATTTATTTATGAAATGAGAATACCATAATCTGTTATGCCAGAATCGATACACGAAATCCAAAAATGATAATTACTTACCTGGAGAGTCGGTCTGGTCCGTCTGCAGGTAATATCTTCTTAGAATTTAGTAAACACGACGTTAATGTCCGAAAATCATATCCAAGAGATTTCAAGGGTACTGCATACAAGTCGATATCAACGTTGTGACCGTCCATTATGATATCTCCGACTCCTTTATAGGGAGTTTATTATTTTCCAATAATTGTTCTTTAGAAATTAAACCATTGAAGGAATTTATCATCACAAATTAAACAGAAAATTAAAAATTCACATCTTTTACAATTTTAGTGTGAATAGAAGAATGATGAAACCTACAAACACAGAGCAAGTAATCACTAAGTTATATTTTCAACTACTGATTGTGTGTAAGTATTGTTTTAGACCTTATTATGTCTGTCCTTTAGATATAGTATCTCTAATCTGTGGTGCTTGTCATATTGACAGCTGTCTTTTTTTTCTTTTTTTTACATGCCTGGAAGAAAGCCTTACCTATCTTTGACTTTAATAAAATAAATTATAACAAAGTACAAGATGAAATTATCATAGACTCATTATAACGATAATCTAAGGAAATAATACATTAAAAAGTATATGGATTAGCGATGTAAAAGAAAACATTATAACATGTATGTTACAGCAAGACAGAAAAGTAGGATATTTAACTACAAAGGAATTCTTGGAAAGGTCGATATAAACCTTTTGGTATCGAAATCGGTTTCTCAGAAGTCGACATAAACGAAAACTGATTTTGGGGATCGACGAAGTCTAAAAATCGATTACTATTAATCAACACAAATACTTATTTGAATTATTGTTATAATTTTAATGAAACTTAACAATAAACGTACAATAAGTTCGTACAAAATGTTAATTATTGTTGAGTATTTGAGTATTTTTGTGTAATTTGTATTAATAATTGGATATTTACTTAATTTTGTTAAATTTTAATGAAAAAATGCCTTAACTGCTACTTAACGTTAGTAGTACGTTATATGAAAATAACAACCAAGCTATTTGGCTTTTATATCGTCATTAGCAAGGGATATCCACTAGCGAGTCAGTTGTATCCTTAACGTCGAATATAGACTAAACCACAGCAACAAGCAATAATTGAGAACCATCTGCAATTCCACATCGATTCATTCATCGCTTCTGGATTTCAGTAATAAGGGTTGGCAAATTTATATTCGCCAAAGTAGCCAATTCTATGGTAGCGTTAGCTAAAAGTCAAATAACCGGTTGATTAACAGTTATTTATTAGATTAAAACAAATTGGCGGCAGGGGGATTGTTATTAATAGGGACTACCAGTTACAATGCTAGCAATGTGCACTGTCAAGTCGACCTCTACGTGTCCCCCCTCCCCCTGGACACCATCGTGCTGAATTTCAGGTGTATTCATCACGATGGGCTAACTGACCTCCCTTTTCATTCTTACCTATCATTCCTCACTGGTGTATACCGGTATACCGTTGGCGCAGATGGGGTTGCCATTCCAATGTCATTCATTAAGAAAAAAAAAAACAACAATTGCTAGATTAAAAAAAAATAACAATTCTGGTTCAAGACGTTTTATTGTCATTCACAAGTGCATTTTCTATTGTCTACCTCTACTCATGATATACATACATACATTTCTAAATTCATGTACATGACTATCGTAATATACAATACACGCATACATATATAATATTAAGTATATTAATAAAACTCTCAACAAAATTAAATACAATCTTTCAAGAAAAGTTTTAACCGTTTAATTAATTAATCCCAAAATGGCCGTTCAGGGCAATTGAATAGCCAATGATACATATTATTGATTGCAAAATATCCCACTAAAATGGTGCGAGTTTGAAATAATTTTAAATACTGATTTAATCGTAGGTCTTTCGCATACTCTTGTCAGACAAAATATTTATTATCTACCACAAATTTCTAGGTCTATTTGAGGTAAACAGATACCTACAAACTACAAAAGGCGGTCGTAACTCAGCCTTTTTTCGTTCAAAAATTTACATATGTCGCCGTATGTACAGTTCAAGTAACATAACTGTGAATCTTACAAAAAAAAAAATAATAAATAAATATCAATTGAAATCGAAAGACAATCTTTCAGTTTCGTACTGATTTTTCCTAGCTATATATACACATGACCCAACATATAAACATATAGGCGATAGTAGATTTAAAAAGTTACTCCCCAAAGTGAATAAATTATTTCAGTCTCAAAAACTCCTTTAGGATGTAACAAGAAATACTAATAAATTCAAACTACTATTTATTCTGAAGACAGACCATTTTGAGAGGGTTCAAGTTCAATAAAATAACTCAAGTACTTGTACTTAATTATAATACTCATTTCCAATTATACCACTCAGTCGAGAAACTAGAGTAGAAAAGAACAGGCAAGAGATCTAGGCATTATTAATTTGAAATCTACATATTAAAACATAACGAAATACCTATATATATTTTTAGCAATAGACAATTCTTTTGTTTTGCATGGCATATACACTTGAATTCGGTAACAGAAACCGAAGTATGATACAATTTACAATAATTAAATAATTAAAAATTCAGTTCAACAAACTCTCACACGTCAGATTAATTATATAAATCAACAAAAAAACAATTAAGAATAGACAATTAAGTAACAGATGCTATTTACACCAACTACTAAGTAATAAGCTCTCTTTATATTAAAATTTTGATTAATATACATATAAATATTGTTGGCTGTTGCAAGTAATTCTAATGGGCTCCATAGACGGTCAAGTCAAGCGCATCTATTGCCGTTTATAAGACAGGAAGAAGCTCCGTATCTGTCTCACAAGCGGCTTGGCTTAAAAGAGTGCTTGATGCAAGCTGCTTGATCGTTTACATAACCAATAATAGATAAGTAGCGCGTTTCCATCTTTACATATTAAACACATGACTTCAAAATACATGTTACAATTATACATTTTTCAAACATGTATATTGATGGAAACGGGGAAAAATAAAGGCCTACGCAGACGAGTAACAATCCAAAAACCAAAATTATAAAGAGATTATATCTAAGTATATGACTTAAAGAAAAAAAAAAACTACGGAATTTTATTACAGCGTGTCCAACACTTGGTATTGGTCAAGTTTTTGTTCTCGTCCTTGTTCGATAAAAAACTTTACATACACTGCAATTTTAAAAAGTATAATTTATAGAATTGCACTAATTGACACTACATACCTATTTAAATTTTGTGCATCAAATCACAGCCGCTAGACAACTCGAAGTAGACCAAAGTTCATTTTACAGGTGATATAATTGAGTTCTCATTACATGCTAGTAAATTGTCCATATTGTATATTAGACTACTGCCAGAATACAATAGATTTCGAATACTAATCATTACAACTGCAATAAAGTTACATATGGTAATATTAATATGGATATACAAAAATGTCTATGACAATACACTGCGCGTTAATAAAAAAAAAAAAAAAAACTAAAACGTCACTTAGGGATTCGATATCTGATTATGAGAAAATAGATAAATTATGATCAATAGATTGTAAAAATCTCACTCGATACAATTTTATAGAAGGAACTGCCAAAAATATTGTAAATTTTGAGTTGTCATTCTCTCTTAAGTCTTCTCTTTCTAAAGTTACAATTTATTTGATATATAGTTTAGCACTATGGCGACTATTGTATGGACCATAGAGAATTAAATGTAAAGCATGTCTGACGCAATTCTACTATTAAAAAAAAATACTAGTCCTTACAATAATAATTTTTGTGGAATATCAAATTGTAATTTTAACTTTAGAGATATTTCGGAATGCACTCCATTGTTAGCTATCACCTCCACCATGCTAGAATTAGATAGACTGCATAGATTATGATTAAATATATGCAAAGTTATTTAAAATATCAACCGTTAACAATTAAGAACATAACAGTAATAATTTAAAAAAAAATCTACTTTCATTTATAACAAAAACCATATTTTACTGTAGAACCATTTTGATACCCAAGTTCAAAAAGAACTATTGGAATCGGTCTACAAAAGTAAAAAATATGACACAATAAAATAGTTATTTGGAATTATAATAACATCCGAGAGGCAATCCTTAGCGAACTTTTTTGTCCGCCAAGTAAAATACATAATACAGTCATGTTCCTGGCATAATCTCGACAGTTTTAGAAGGGATCCTGTCCGCTGCAGACAAAAGTCCTTAACGAGATAGCTGAGACGAGAGAACTGTGTTGATACAGTATGCAAGTTGCGTATCCCTACAAGACTATTTTATACAAACACTACAGGCTAGAAAAGAGATAATTACAGTTAGTTATTTGTCATTCATATAAGACAGTTTGTGTTGTTCAATTAGACATTAGGCGAATATTGCCATGATAAGTTATAGAACATGTCACCACTCACTCGTTAACATTATATACAAATTTCACTAAATAACGCTACCCTCTAAAGCAGAGAGAAAAAAGTATAAAGAATAAAACAATTTAGAAAAAAAGAATCAACAAGTATTTTGTCTAATTGAAAATTAAAACAACTAAAAAAAAAATCGAAACAAACAACAAAATAGAAATACTGCAGAATTGAGAACCTCCATCTTTTTTTTTTATTTAATTTAATACCAATAAATATTATCTGGCAAGACTACAATTAGAACCTGAATTCGTTGGTTTCTGTAATGCAATAAAATATATCAATACTCTGTAAGGGAATATCAATACATTGAACAAACATAAAGAGAATATAAAAATCATATTAATTAGTGCTTTGAAACTTTATATATCACAATTACCACATTTAACTCCATACTCCATTAGGCCCCTAATAGATTATAACAGTTCAAAGAAAAAAGTTTTAAAAGGATTCACATATGTTATTCAAACTAAACCTTAATAAGTTATTATAAGATTTACTTTCATTATTACACATTATACAATCGTACGGACATAGGGTCCATTTTCCAATTCGCTGTTGTAGACAATTGAAAGGCCAAATTAATTTTATGTCTTAAACTATGATATGGTATTAGTTTTCTAATATTAAATCTTTACTAAACTCACAATAGAAAAGACCGTTTATGGTATATATTTCGCAAATTACGTGTGCACTGGACAATCGCTTTGTATACCGACTCCTTAATTTGGCCGTGTTAACAAATATCAAAATTAACACAAAATGACAGACGTTTTTGTTAGACGAATATAAACTTTATATATTTGTTTATGAAATCATTTTATAAAAAAAGCTAATTAAAAATATAGCGCTCGTATGTGGCGCCATCGAGTTACAATATAAACAATCGCAAATAGTCATTAGAAATCTACTGAAATTAAAAAAAAAATTAATATGGCAAGAAAAGTTCTCCCGCCCATCACAGTAATAAGCTACACCATTTTTGGAACAGATTGAAAATATTATAATACGGCCTAATTAAAAAGAACTAACAAATAATTGTATGGCCATGCACAATATAATATATAAATATTTGTAATATATAATTACATAGTTATTAGATACTTGGCATCACTAGTTTACAAGACTGTCAACATACACTAATTTGTTTTATCATCAGTCTTAAACGGTACACTTTCGAAAGAAATAGGCATTAATATAGATATATCTTCTAATATTCACTTATATACAGCAATAAATTTGCAATTATATATTTATATTCCTACGACAAATCAACTATAACTATTATTGATATGAATTTTGGACTTTACGTACTTGACAATATGCTCCAAAATAAATGGAGTCGTCATATATATATATATAAGGTACATATACATGGGTGTTTCACACCACGTGACGTTCGGAAATAGGTTTAAAGGGAAAAATCGTCGAAATGTATTTATAGTGTTAAAATAACGGTTATTAACAAACTGTTAATAACCAGTTTTTTTACAAATATACAGAGTGGAATCGAAATTGTACTAAGTTTGTATCCATGTTGTAGAATAAATTAGGACATAGATAAAGCAAAAATTAAAAACTACTAAAATTAACACTATGACAGATAATTTTTTTAAATTGATTTTAAACCCACAATTTTTTTTTTAATACCACGAAGGTGGCAAACTATCATACAGCCCATCTGATGGTAAACGGTCGCTGTAGCCAATGGACGCTTGCAACACTAGGAGTGTCACGTACGTATTGCGTTTTTTAATAAAAAATATTGATAATATTATAGATTACTAGAAAACATGCAAATGATTTCGAATTCATTTGTCTATAACCCTTTCAGACCCAAAATTTTTTTTCTTTCAGATTAAATATATTTTCGTGTTTTGGTGCCAAGCCATCTTGCCGGCACGCACGAGACTACTGCACCACCTAACCGCTAAAATGATTTCTTATTGGCTGGTTTAGAATCTCACTATCAAGCTTCGTGCGTAAAAATGAATTGCGCACGGTTTTAGAATTTTTTAAATTTACAATTCACGTCCGTATCGTTCAGGTCTGAAAGGGATAAGCATGGATAATACGAGAACAATCCGATTCACCACTGTATTAAACGTTCAACCCCATTCATCCATTATGTGTGATAACAATATTCATAGATACTTAAATATTTACAATGAAGGTGGCTTAATAATGTTCACTCGACAAAGTGCTTATATTTATCAAATTCAATTTGCCAATCTTATTTTACAGTCTTTAATTTATTATCTACCCTCTAATTCATAGGTAAACGTACAATAAGTATGGTACGTTTGGTACTGCAGGCATTAAATAACACGACGCGTCAATTTAACCCACGTTGGAGAAAGAAGGCTGTTAGAAATTTTACACTTGACTTTAAACCTCTTTTAACTATTACAGTATTTTAGTTACAAGAACAAGGAAATACATAGAAGGAATGGTAAAATAAAAACTGTAAATCATATGGTTGCCTCTTTTCTTTTTATGCAAATATAATTAGTAAAAAGAGGACGAAAGATTTTTTTTTTTATTTTTTTTACAACACAGGGGGCAAACGAGCATGCGGCTCACCTGATGGTAAGTGACTACCGCCGCCCATGATCACCCACAACACCAGCGGCATTGCAGGTGTGCTGCCGGCCTTTTAAAAAGGAATATACTCTTTTCTTGAAGGTTATGTTGTCGTATCGGTTCGGAAATACTGCTGCTGGAAGTTGATTCCAAAGAATGGTTGTGCGTGGAAGAAAGTGCCTTGAAAAACGCACGGTGGAAGACCGCCACTCGTCCAGATGATTGGGATGAAACTTTAGTTTGTGGCGGGTTGTACGGTGGTGAAAATCAGCAACAGGTATCAATCCGAACAATTCCTCAGAACACTCCCCATGATAAATTCGGTAGAAGATGCACAGAGATGCAACATCTCTGCGCAGTTTCAGTGGATCAAGTCGGACAGTAAGGCGTTGACTATCGATAATTCGAGCCGCCCGACTTTGAATGCGGTCTAACGGAAGGAGTTGGTACTGTGGCGCTCCTGCCCACAGGTGAGAACAGTATTCCATATGCGGCCTGACTTGCGCTTTATATCGTCAGTTGCTATTTTTCTTAATTCATAGCTGGCTAGTGTATAGAAAATGTTTGATATGTCAATTATTTGTCAATGTCAAATTTTACATTACTAGATTATATATATTCGACACAGTTTATGTAGAAAGCATGCCAGCAGGTTGTATTTGTATTTGGTAGAGTTATACGGCCGTATAACATTTTCTATACACTAGCCTGCTATGAATTGACAATTTTATCACTCCCTCTATGTAATCCCTTGTTCTTAGGATTAAATGCTTTAAAAGCTAAAATAGGTTATTAGATATTCGACGTATGTATGAATAAGGGGATTTATAGGTGTGACATTGTAGCTTCACTGTTTCCTACCCTACCTGTAGCCTACCCTAATGGGAGACAGGCGTGACAGATATATATGTATGTATGTACATTGTAGCTTCTGTACGGATGTTTAGATTTTTTTATTTGGAAACTTTAGCTTTACTATTTGATCGAACGAAATAGTAAAAATGGGTAATATACGACATATTGAGTTCTTCTGACCATTCATGACCATCCATTACGATATCGTCCATCTATATTAGATTATATATTGGACGACAAATAGTTAATATAGCTGTTATTGGGTCAATATATGTATAGATATTGCAACTTCAATATATAGGTATTACTATATATTACTCACCGTTATCAAATACTTATAAGCTTTACTTATTGTAAATATATTTATAGTCTCGGATTGTTTTCCTTTTTTTATTTTTCTTTCTTTATTCTTTATTGTACACAAAAGGTTATTGAAATGTAAAAACAAACATAATAGTGCACAAGGGCGAGCTTATCTCCAATAGAGATTTCTTCCAGCAAACCCAATATGAGAAAAGTGACAGTTCATTAGTAGTTACAGTCATACATGTGTACCAATCGAATTAAATGTTATAGTTAAAAATAAATAAATAAAATGTCTTTACAATTGAAAAAACCGATAGGTATAAATAAATAAATAAAAATATATATAAGTAAATACATATAAATAGATATATATTATATATAATACACAAATATAATAAGTTTTTGATTTTAATACTCTTTATTAATTGCTACAGATGGTCGTTAGTTCATTATTAAATGTATATATTATTCTTTCGCTGCGTAATTAATTTTTGAAACATGTTTCCATAGCAACCGCCTCCGTAGCGATTGTAATGTGTTAGTAAAACTTACTATTCTAATACAGTACAACAACTTCACTATTTAAGTACATGTCCGTTCGCTTAACACCTACCAAAACAGTACAGATATGGCATCTGTTTCATGGTTTACATAACACAGGGTGAAATTAGAAATGGGATCAAATTAGCATAGCGTATTAAGACATGGCGTGTCCACCTTTTTTTTTTATGCAACTTAGAATGGCAAACAAGCTGACGGCCTACCTGATGGAAAGTGGTAACCGTCGCCTATAGACATGAGCAGTACCATGGACATAACAGAGTATACTGGTTCGCCCATGATACCCCCCATGCGTTGCCATTCCTGAGGACTCAGGTGTTATTCCTCTGTACCCTGTAAATTCACTGCCATATCCCACCTTTCAAACCGAAACAGCCGTGCAAACAGCTTCACGGTATAAACATAAGTGGGACAGAAGTGCCCAAGCAAAAAAACTTTTGTACAAAGTCTCCCTCTGGTGATCAAACTGACAAGTTACAGACGCCATGTTATATTTTTTTTTTTTATTTATTTAAGTAAACTTAATTATAAGCAGTTTTTTTATAGTTATTTTTTTATTTTAATACACATTGAGAGAACACTGGTCGTATTCACCCTGTGTTATTATAATATACATTGTCACTCTACGTGGCATGCTTAAATTTAATATTTTCCTTGGATTAAACATTTGTGTTCAACGGTGATCAAAGGAAAAATGTCAAATATTAATTTATTTTTAATATACAATTAATGCGTGAAGCACACACGTTGTTTTGTTGTTAGATATTTCACTTCAGTCATACATAAACAAAATATGTGTAACTCGACTCCAATTGGTAAAATAAAAAAAATCTTTAAATAAAAACATAATAACAGCACGTCCAACAAATTCATCAATCGACTACAATAACACTGGAAAAATACAGTCAATTCTTTTATATATATTTTTTTCTACCAAATAAAAATATAATAAAAAAAAAAAAAACTGCCACAGGGCTTGAACCTGTATCCGTTACTCAAGGATTATTATTATTCAGATAATATTTTTTTTGATCTTTTTTTAACATTCAAATTCATAACCATTAGAAAAATGATGTCATTAAAAAATTTAAGAACTTAGGAAAAGGTTCTCTTTCATATATATATATATATATATATATATATATATATATATATATATATATATATATATATATATATATATATATATAATTATCTAAGTCGATCCCGATAATCAAGAAATTGTATAACTAAAGTCTGGGTACTCAAGTCTCCACTTAGAATCTTCGAGGTTAAAATGCTTTTATAACATCGAAGACTATTCAATACCTTATTTGGAATAAATCTGGTTCACTTCTTACAAAAGCTTGCAGCTATATTACGCTACTTTGTAACGCTTTGCGAATATTATGTGATCTCCTAAGGAAACGAGGGGGGGGGGGAGGACTTCAAGTTGACAACGCCTATATAACAACGCCCTGGGAACTCCTAAGGTAACCACTTACCACCAGGCGGGCCGTGAGCTTGCCAACTTGATGATGTAAAATCGAAGCAGTCAGGCATCACCCTGCACACAGAAGCGTTCAATTGTGCGCCGCCCTCTTCCCTTGCATGTAGCCTTCCCATCTTCTCGCTGTGTTGATCAATATGGGATCATCGTCCAACCCAGCTAGGAGGTATAGCTGGTTCACGTGAGTGGCATGGTAGTCCCACCTGCAACATTTTTTTAAATTAAATGTTTATACATTCAAAAAGTAATTTTTTTTTTACAACACAGGGGGCAAACGAGCATGCGGTTCACCTGATGGTAATTGAGAAAATGTTCCAAATACTGACAACACAGAGTCATTTCTTCACATTGACAATTATGTTTTTTTTTTTTTACATTCAAAAAGTAATTGAGAACATGTATACACAGTATACATACACAAGACGTAGAGTAGTTTTCATCACATTGACAATTGTTTCTTTTTTTCACCGAATTGCACGTAATTATTACAGAGGTGTCAATTAAGTGTCATCTCTATGGGACTGATTCACTATAGCAAAAAACACTGCACGAATGGTTGATATTTTTCAAAAATTATATTAAATAGTTACTATTGTTTCCTAATCGCTAGATGAGTTTGATGTAAGGTAATTCTCTGACAGGACCACTTGAGGCGACGTGCTGAAGAAGGGCCAAATTAAAAGTACCCGTAACCGGCGAGCGTGTATGAAAAGATTGATTAATGTGGAAGAAGCGAAAGAGGTTTGTTTGAATCGAAGCATTTGGCGTTCCATTGTTTCTGCGTACCCTGATGGAAGACAGGCGTGACAGATATGTATGTATGACCACTTGAGATAAATTGAAAAAGGCTGAGTGTTCTACTGCTTGTACAATAGACTATGTTTAGAGGAACTGTTTAATATAATGCCTACGGCCACCTTTTACTGGTGCCCCCCCCCCCCCCCAGTAAAAGTAAACAAACTAAAATCAACACTACTCACCTGGCGATATTGGGGCTGACGCCCAACGTGAAGTGTCGCAGGTCGTAGAAGCTGCCGCTGCCGGTGTCGAACAGCGGCAGCAGGGTCTTTAGCGAGGTCATGCCGTCGTCGAACATCTTCTTGGCCAGCGATATCGAGTTCTCGCCCTCCAGTATGTGCAGGTCGTAGAGCCCGAGCAGCGTGTATATGAAGCCGTTTAGAACGAAAAGTGGGGGTGTAGTCGGGTACTCCTCATACCTGGAATAATATAACAGCAAAATTCCTTGGAAATCCTTAATATTTTTTTTATACCACAAAGGTGGCAAGCCCGTTTAATGGTAAGCAGTCAATGTAGCCTATGGACGCCTGCAAAACAAAGTATCACGAGCGCATTGCCGACCCTGAAAAATCTAAATATACCCTTTTTGAAGAACCCCATACTGTAGTCTCTAGGGGAAACCTTGGCATTAACTAATACAATAAATGTGTGGCCAGCATAGAATAGGCAACACCTACCGTAGGTGTCGTAGCTTTCATGTAAGAGAGTGAGGGCATGAAATTTGGCATACACATATTACATGGGATTGACAAAGATATAGGTTACTTTTTATCCCAGTTGTCTTTGTTGATGTGTCCCTCTATTCGACCTGTGTTTCTGCTGTGAATATAGTTTCTGTTTCTAGCGACTAGTAGCGTATTTATCATACCAGACGTATTTGTCCATCCAGAGCGCCTTGACGCCGCCGGCGTGGCTGGGCACGTCCAGCAGGTACAGCGCGCGCTGCGCCGCCCGCAGGTACGCCGGCTCGCCCGACCGGTAGTACGCGCGCGACAGCACCGAGATCGCGTGCCCCTGGCTCATCGCGGAATGCCTGCCAACCGTACAGTAGAGGCCATCAGACGCCACGTCTGTAGCGGGCGCTGGTGCAGTAGTGCGGTGTGTACTGTGTGTAGTGTAGTGTAGTGTAGTGTAGTGTAGTGTAGCGTGGGGTGGTGTAGCCGCGTACCAGCCGGGCCGCAGGTCGGTGCCGGCGACGCGGCGCCGCGCGGGCACGGGCCAGGCGCCGGTGCGCGGGCGCTGGTGCAGTAGTGCGGTGTGTACTGTGTGTAGTGTAGTGTAGTGTAGTGTAGTGTAGTGTAGTGTAGTGTAGTGTAGCGTGGGGTGGTGTAGCCGCGTACCAGCCGGGCCGCAGGTCGGTGCCGGCGACGCGGCGCCGCGCGGGCACGGGCCAGGCGCCGGTGCGCGGGCGCTGGTGCAGTAGTGCGGTGTGTACTGTGTGTAGTGTAGTGTAGTGTAGTGTAGTGTAGTGTAGCGTGGGGTGGTGTAGCCGCGTACCAGCCGGGCCGCAGGTCGGTGCCGGCGACGCGGCGCCGCGCGGGCACGGGCCAGGCGCCGGTACGCGGGCGCTGGTGCAGTAGTGCGGTGTGTACTGTGTGTAGTGTAGTGTAGTGTAGTGTAGTGTAGTGTAGCGTGGGGTGGTGTAGCCGCGTACCAGCCGGGCCGCAGGTCGGTGCCGGCGACGCGGCGCCGCGCGGGCACGGGCCAGGCGCCGGTGCGCGGGCGCTGGTGCAGTAGTGCGGTGTGTACTGTGTGTAGTGTAGTGTAGTGTAGTGTAGTGTAGTGTAGCGTGGGGTGGTGTAGCCGCGTACCAGCCGGGCCGCAGGTCGGTGCCGGCGACGCGGCGCCGCGCGGGCACGGGCCAGGCGCCGGTGCGCGGGCGCTGGTGCAGTAGTGCGGTGTGTACTGTGTGTAGTGTAGTGTAGTGTAGTGTAGTGTAGTGTAGTGTAGTGTAGCGTGGGGTGGTGTAGCCGCATACCAGCCGGGCCGCAGGTCTGTGCCGGCGACGCGGCGCCGCGCGGGCACGGGCCAGGCGCCGGTGCGCGGGCGCTGGTGCAGTAGTGCGGTGTGTACTGTGTGTAGTGTAGTGTAGTGTAGTGTAGTGTAGTGTAGTGTAGTGTAGCGTGGGGTGGTGTAGCCGCGTACCAGCCGGGCCGCAGGTCGGTGCCGGCGACGCGGCGCCGCGCGGGCACGGGCCAGGCGCCGGTGCGCGGGCGCTGGTGCAGTAGTGCGGTGTGTACTGTGTGTAGTGTAGTGTAGTGTAGTGTAGTGTAGTGTAGCGTGGGGTGGTGTAGCCGCGTACCAGCCGGGCCGCAGGTCGGTGCCGGCGACGCGGCGCCGCGCGGGCACGGGCCAGGCGCCGGTGCGCGGGCGCTGGTGCAGTAGTGCGGTGTGTACTGTGTGTAGTGTAGTGTAGTGTAGTGTAGTGTAGTGTAGCGTGGGGTGGTGTAGCCGCGTACCAGCCGGGCCGCAGGTCGGTGCCGGCGACGCGGCGCCGCGCGGGCACGGGCCAGGCGCCGGTGCGCGGGCGCTGGTGCAGTAGTGCGGTGTGTACTGTGTGTAGTGTAGTGTAGTGTAGTGTAGTGTAGTGTAGCGTGGGGTGGTGTAGCCGCGTACCAGCCGGGCCGCAGGTCGGTGCCGGCGACGCGGCGCCGCGCGGGCACGGGCCAGGCGCCGGTACGCGGGCGCTGGTGCAGTAGTGCGGTGTGTACTGTGTGTAGTGTAGTGTAGTGTAGTGTAGTGTAGTGTAGCGTGGGGTGGTGTAGCCGCGTACCAGCCGGGCCGCAGGTCGGTGCCGGCGACGCGGCGCCGCGCGGGCACGGGCCAGGCGCCGGTGCGCGGGCGCTGGTGCAGTAGTGCGGTGTGTACTGTGTGTAGTGTAGTGTAGTGTAGTGTAGTGTAGTGTAGCGTGGGGTGGTGTAGCCGCGTACCAGCCGGGCCGCAGGTCGGTGCCGGCGACGCGGCGCCGCGCGGGCACGGGCCAGGCGCCGGTGCGCGGGCGCTGGTGCAGTAGTGCGGTGTGTACTGTGTGTAGTGTAGTGTAGTGTAGTGTAGTGTAGTGTAGCGTGGGGTGGTGTAGCCGCGTACCAGCCGGGCCGCAGGTCGGTGCCGGCGACGCGGCGCCGCGCGGGCACGGGCCAGGCGCCGGTGCGCGGGCGCTGGTGCAGTAGTGCGGTGTGTACTGTGTGTAGTGTAGTGTAGTGTAGTGTAGTGTAGTGTAGCGTGGGGTGGTGTAGCCGCGTACCAGCCGGGCCGCAGGTCGGTGCCGGCGACGCGGCGCCGCGCGGGCACGGGCCAGGCGCCGGTGCGCGGGCGCTGGTGCAGTAGTGCGGTGTGTACTGTGTGTAGTGTAGTGTAGTGTAGTGTAGTGTAGTGTAGCGTGGGGTGGTGTAGCCGCGTACCAGCCGGGCCGCAGGTCGGTGCCGGCGACGCGGCGCCGCGCGGGCACGGGCCAGGCGCCGGTGCGCGGGCGCTGGTGCAGTAGTGCGGTGTGTACTGTGTGTAGTGTAGTGTAGTGTAGTGTAGTGTAGTGTAGCGTGGGGTGGTGTAGCCGCGTACCAGCCGGGCCGCAGGTCGGTGCCGGCGACGCGGCGCCGCGCGGGCACGGGCCAGGCGCCGGTGCGCGGGCGCTGGTGCAGTAGTGCGGTGTGTACTGTGTGTAGTGTAGTGTAGTGTAGTGTAGTGTAGTGTAGCGTGGGGTGGTGTAGCCGCGTACCAGCCGGGCCGCAGGTCGGTGCCGGCGACGCGGCGCCGCGCGGGCACGGGCCAGGCGCCGGTACGCGGGCGCTGGTGCAGTAGTGCGGTGTGTACTGTGTGTAGTGTAGTGTAGTGTAGTGTAGTGTAGTGTAGCGTGGGGTGGTGTAGCCGCGTACCAGCCGGGCCGCAGGTCGGTGCCGGCGACGCGGCGCCGCGCGGGCACGGGCCAGGCGCCGGTGCGCGGGCGCTGGTGCAGTAGTGCGGTGTGTACTGTGTGTAGTGTAGTGTAGTGTAGTGTAGTGTAGTGTAGCGTGGGGTGGTGTAGCCGCGTACCAGCCGGGCCGCAGGTCGGTGCCGGCGACGCGGCGCCGCGCGGGCACGGGCCAGGCGCCGGTGCGCGGGCGCTGGTGCAGTAGTGCGGTGTGTACTGTGTGTAGTGTAGTGTAGTGTAGTGTAGTGTAGTGTAGCGTGGGGTGGTGTAGCCGCGTACCAGCCGGGCCGCAGGTCGGTGCCGGCGACGCGGCGCCGCGCGGGCACGGGCCAGGCGCCGGTACGCGGGCGCTGGTGCGCGGCGAGCCAGCGCGCCGCCGCCACGAACTGCGCCATGTGTTCGCTCGACGACACCGTCACGTTGTCCAGCGACCCGCTGCCGCACAGGATTATGCTCGATATCTGTTTCAACGACATTTTTCATTGAGGCAACTTTTGAAACGTAATTTTTTACACCTATCTCAAAAATACTCTTAATAATACCGTTATAATTACGACGTGATCTCCTATCTTTTTTGGAAATATATAAAATAGTAGGTACACAAAAAAATATTTACACTAAAAAATGTGCAGAATTACCTATGTAGAGCGACGACCTAAAATGAGTTGCAGAGAGACAGCGAATGCAGGTGACTTAGGGCCATCCTTTATGGAGGTTTCCATTCAGCTGTGGACTTATGATAAAAAACTAAAAAGGGCCAATAAAAAAAAATCAGAAATGACTAAGAAATCTTAATGAACTTGCCTTAAACTTATTTCTAGGCGACTTCCTCTTGGGTCTGTCGAGTAGCGCCCAGCCTTTCTGCATGTCGATAATGAGATCTCGAGTGATCCGTCGCCACGCAGCGTCCACTCCAATACCATAATATATATGGTCCTCCTGAATAGGATAGGAAGAATCAGATCAGTCCAAAACATCTGAGTAAGGTAAGTGTGTTTGGATACTTATTAAAAAAATACATACCTAGTAAGATACCATAGTGATACCACATTTGTTTTCACAAATATGTATTATTTAAAAAATTAAAAAAAAAAAATATAGTGTGTTGGAGTACCTACATTCATAGGTACGGCTGGTACGCGGCTACACTACACTATACACCACACACTATAGGTTAAACACCCCTGAAGAATTCTTCCGAATAAAGTTGAAACAATTGTCGGAAACGACAAAAACAGTGATTTTTTTTTAGAGTTCATTAATTTCGCGTTACATATGTATATAGACATGGGTTTTATTGTATAAATTGGAATATTGGTGTCTACACGTATCTCACAAACTACTTTCCCGTACGATACGACGTACGACGCAGACATATTGCTCACTCACGAATCGTGCATTGCACTCGATTGGGGATATTCTCACTCGGTACCACAATATAGACATTTTCGCTAATAAACTGGAAAAATTGGTTGACGTAGCTTATAGATTCCTGAATTCTCTATGACATATCTCTAATCTATATAATGACATTTAGTTTGAAATTTATTTTGACATTATATTATATAGAATTATCGTTTCCCTATTTACTATAATGGATTTAAATTCACATTTTATGTAAAATTAAATTTAATCTTAATCTTTTATACTTTTTTTTATGCAACTTAGAATGGCAAACAAGCTGACAGCCCACCCGATGGAAAGTGGCAACCGTTGCCTACAGACATGAGCAGTGCCATGGATATAACAGAGTATACTGTTTCGCCAAAGATACCTCTCATGCGTTGCCATTCCTGAGGACTCAGGTGTTATTTCACTGTACCTTGTAAATTTACTGCCATATTCTTTGCCTTCAAACCGAAACACAGCCATAGAATGGGACAGAGGTGTCCAAATAAACGACTTTTGTACAAAGTCTCCTTCTGGTAATTTATTAATTATTAGTATTAATTATTGTAAATAATTTGACATGTATTAAAATTATAATTACCTGCGTTAAATAATATAAAATAAATGAGAACACTCACTTGTGCAGAAATAAGTTGCAAACTAGTAATATAATGTAAATAAACAGTCTCTTTTCTATCCTTGTTCTGTAGCACCACTGTAAGCGAGGAGTTGGGTTTCAACATGAGGTCGAGGCTCAGCACGAAATCCTGGCTGATGTTGACCTTCAGCCACACCTGACTTGACACGTGGTCCGTTGTGGCGAACTTCAAAATATTAGTCTGCATAGTACTATCATACTCCCTCGTCATATATGCATCTTTACTGACGATCCAACTCTCCAAATGTTTCTCCCCATCGTCTATAACTCTTCGCCTTGGTTCGGGCTCGGTTATGTTTTTGCTGTAATGCGCCAAGCCGAATTGCGCTATTTGTGTTGCGTAGTAGAACCCTCTAGGTTCCCACTGTATCGAGACGGGAACCCCGTCGATGCCGCTGATGCATTTCACCCGATCGCGTACTTCTACGTTGTAGTTTTCGAAGGTGGTGAAGGTGCCTCGTGGGTCATACTTTTTCTTCGGGTGATATATTTTGCTGTAGCTGTGGGACCACTCGAATTTCTCCACGCCGTCCACTACAGACAGCTTGCCGTATATCTGGTGAACAATGCATTGATGTAAAAGTTATACAAGGTACATTAACTAGCTTCATACAAGAACAATATGACAAATATGAAATTACAAGGTACAGAGATTTATTATTAATGTATGATAATGAAATGGTAACCCCGCCTGCGCTGACGGTATACACTGGCGGGGCACCAGTGAGGGATGATAGGTGAGAATGAAAAGGCAGGTTAGTTTTTTTTTCAATGGGTGAAAATGGTATGGTAACCCCGCCTGCGCTAACGGGATACGCTGGCGGAGCGCCAGTGAAGGGTGATAGATGAGAATGAAAACAGGCCAGTTAGCCCATCATGATGAATTCATCAGGAATTAACCATGATAGTTTCCAGGGAGAACCGCGAGGAGGTCGACCTGGTTGGGTATATTGCTAGCAATGGGATTCTTAGTCTCTATTACTAACAATCCCTTTCCCCCAGGCAGGTCAGTTAGCTCATCGTGATGAATACACCAGGTATTCAGCACGATGGTTTCCAGGGAGGACCACGTGAAGATTAACCTAATAGGGCATATTTCTAACAATTGGACTGGTAGTCCACATTAATAACAAACGCTCCCCGACTGGTACAGAGGTATAACACCTTAGTCCTCAGGAAAGGCAATGCATGAGGGAAATCATGGATGACGTAGTATACTCTGTTATGTCGGTTACGGTTACCACTTTCCATCAGATGGGATGTCAACTATCTTTTTACAAGTTATCAAGTACATTATAACTAGTAACGAAACTATTTTAATGAATGCCTATTGCAAGTTACAAGTTTACATTTTCTTTACATTTTATTCGAATAATTAATTAAATACACAACAATTTTATATAGTCTCCAAACTCCCTTCTTCTTAAGAAGGGAATATTAGTAATGCGGACTACCAGTCCCATTGTTAGCAATATACCCTGTCAGGTCGACCTCCACGTGGTCCCTTCTACAAATCATCGGGCTGAATCCCAGGTTTATTCATCACAACTAATTGGCCTGCCTTTTCATTCTCACCTGTCATCTCTCACTGATGTCCCGCCAGTTTATACCATTAGCGTGGGCGGAATTACTATTCCATTATCATCCATTAAAAAAACCTTTAAATAAGGATTTTTTAAACTTTAATTAATAAAATATCACTAAGCTTTTTACATAGTGTAATAGAGAGACCGATCCATTCAAATACATACATACATATCTGTCACGCCTGTCTCCCATTAGGGTAGGCAGAAACAATGGAACGTTAAATGCTTCGATTCAAACAAACCTCTTTCGCTTCTTCCACATTCATCAATCTTTTCATACACGCTCGCCGGTTACGGGTACTTTTAATTTGGCCCTTCTTCAGCACGTCGCCTATTTGGTCAACATACGTCTGTCTAGGGCGGCCCCTACCGCCCTAGATGGACGTTTCTTCCACATAACATTTCCCATTCAAATATTATTTTCTTTTCTTTTTTTTTCTTTTTTTCTTTTCTTTTTTCTTTTTTCTTTTCTTTTTTTTTTTTTTTATATAATTTTGTGTCATTATGCCATATAGGGAAGAGCACTGCTTATCCTAAAGTACAGGATTTACCTATTTAAGGAGCAGAGTTTTACCTATATTTAAAATGTAACATTTATTTTGAAATAAATTATTATTATTATTATTCAAATAACAATACGACAATCATGCGCTCACCTCCATTCAACAAGGCACATACCTCGAAATACTTGTGTATGAACGTAAAGGGCACGTATATCTCGTCCCGGTCGCGGCGGCACGCCACCGAGAACTCGCCGTTGATCATGCACTCGATCTCCTCGCTGGCCACGTTGCGCTCCGACAGGGCGTTCGAGAGCACCGAACCAACTGTCGGATTATGAAAGGCACTTTATTTTTTATATCCCCTTCTCATCATCACGATGTGTAACAAAATCAGAACTCGAGTACAAAACACTAAATGGATTTTTTTTTTATACTACTTAGATTGGCAAACAAGCTGACGGCCCACCTGATGGAAAGTGGTAACCGTCGCCTATAGACATGAGCAGTACCATGGACATAACAGAGTATACTGTTTCGCCCATGATACTCCTCATGCGTTGCCATTCCTGAGGACTCAGGTGTTATTCCTCTGTACCCAGTAAATTCACGCCAACTTGCAAAACTTCAAATGTAAAAGATGACTGAAACTCTTTTCAAGGGGCAGGGCAGGGCAACTGAAGGATAAATGGCTGAAATAATAATGATATTATAAGTCATCTGCCTACTAGGGTTTGAAGAAAACACTTTAGTTCTCAGGGCATTCCAGAAAACCAGTGTTAAAGCATGAGGGTGTACAATGGGCATTACACAGTACGCTGTGACATCTATGGTGCTGTTTGTTATCTATTGGTGGCAATCCCCAGATTCTAATCAATGACAAATTCAAATGACAAAACTGCATGGATTTGAATATTGTATAATATTAATGTGAATTGTATTGTAAATGTAATTATTGTATTTTTTTTTAATTTTTATTATTTTATATAGTAATTATTATAATTATAAAGTGACGTATCATAAGAATCTGTAACAGATGTATATGAATAAAGATGATTTATTGATTGATTGATTCCATCAGGTAGGCTGTCAGCTTGTTTACCATTCCAAAAATATAGCATGTTGATAATTTATAAAATTTTATTATTAGAGAGACCTTCAGGACATCTTATAATAGTATAAAAAAGACAAAAAAAAAAAAATACAGATCTTTAAATAAAACTTGTGTGCCTTATAAAAGTAGTGCTATTGTTCATTTGCTAGAAATAACTAAGTACTGACTAGGTCTGCGCGAGAGCTCCCCGCAGTGACTCCAAAAGAGCGTCAGCAGCAACACGACGATGCAGAGCACGCCGAGCGCCACACGCAAGTTCAGCCGCCCCACCATCATCACTGCTACCTGGACACAACACAGAGAGCCTCTAACTCAGATAATCCATGCTTGCTACCCAATGAAATACATCTTATGTGGGTAAGATACAGCTTATCTGATTTATTAGAGATCATTAGCAAACAATGCTAGCTCTTAGCACCTTAACAGGTTAACAATACTTAACTATACTATGCAAAAGATATAACTTAGTTGAGATTGGAAGCAAAACTATTTTATTTGTCAATAAAATTATATAGCTACCCCACATAAGTCAACATAAAAGTAATCATCAATTTATCCATTATTTTCATACATAACACTATAAAATGTGGTACCCACATACTAAATGAAATGGAGAAAACATTTTAAATCAGTCATGAGGGGGGGAGTAAGGGATTGTTAGCGATGTGATCAAATAGCCCCATTACTAGCAATATACCCTGTCAGGTCGACCTCCACGTGGTTCCCCCTGGAAACCATTGTGGCTAATTCTAGTTGAATTTGTCAGGATGGGCTAACTGACCTGCTTTTATCCTCATCAGTCATCTATCACTGGTGCCCCGCCAGTGTATACCGATAGCACAGACGGGATTGCCATACCATTATCACCCATTAAAAAAAAAATCAGTCATGTATACAAAATTGTAAGTAAAAGCTAATAACAATATGAAGAGAAATAGATTTTTTTCTCCTGTAGAATGACAAATTTTAAATATGAAATATGTTTTTTTTAAAGAATCTACAGGAATCACCAAAAAAATTAACTTTCAACACTAAGGAGATATTTATTACATGGAAAGGACAATAGACTATAAATAAATTAAAACAGGATAATTTGAATGGTCAAGCTTAGAGAAAAATATGATATCCTTAGTTTGAACATCAACTAGGGCAAAAAATAAACCACATAATTGTTTGTTTTAACAGTTAAAAAACTTATAGTAGTTTAAAACATCAATAACTGTTTGAGTGCCGACAAGCACCATTGCGCTTATGCACTTTGTAACTAAAAGTGCCATGAGCACTATAGCACTCGAGTGAAATCAATTGCTGTTTAGCTCGCCGTAAAAAAATTATTAAAATTGGATAATTTTTAAAGGAGACACAGTTTTTTTAGAGACAAGGGTAAATGACATCAACATGACAAAGATGTCTTTAGCATTTATAAGTAGATATGAGTAAAAATCCATGGCACTAATATAGTAAAATTTTTCCTGTAATATTTTCCTTAACACGTTCACGCCGGTGCGCGTACCACCGGTGGCCCACACTAGACTGTCTTTTCTGACAGCGCATACCAGCGGTGGTACGTATTCGCTTGTGGTATTAGCATCAATTAAAGCGCTGCCTCGTAGCAAAAAACATTAAAGTCGGCCCCGTCGTGAATGTGTTAATGAGCTACAATTGTTATTAGAATAACAAATTACAGTTCATATATTTATCACAGTCTACATATAATTTACACTTCACAAGCTTCAAAGATGGGCAGGTGAAGAAAATGCAATACAAAAACAATAGCTGAGTTTCTCTCTTGTTCTTCTCACCTAAAATTGTGGGTAGTAGCTTAATAAAAAAAGATTTTTATTATTATTTTTTTTTTTTTAATACTTTCTTGTACACATTAGTTATAAAAATATGACAGAGGTAAACAAAAGTACAAAGGCGAGCTTAACTCTGATAGAGTTTTCTTCCAGCAAACCCAAAGTGGAAAGGAGCATCAATGTCAGCGGATACAGCAGTGTACAATTTTTAAATAGCCAAAATTAAATTAATTAGATTATATTATATAGTACAAATACACACATACATATACATAAATATATACCTACATCTATGCATAAACCTACATATACATACACATATACATACACATATACATACAATATACCTACACATATAGATAAATAAATATATGTTCATAGAGATAGAAGATGCTCTTTAAGTCTACTCTTAAAAATATTTAGGGATTGACTCTCACGGATAGATATGGGAAGAGAATTCCACAATCTAGCAGCATGGACGGTAAAAGATCCACTATAGCGCGTAGATGAGTGTGAAGGGAGTTTGAGGATAAGAGATTTCGTCGAACAGATTATTATTATTTACAATGTTAATTTATTGGGGGAAAGGGATTGTTAGTAATGGAGACTGAGAATCCCATTGCTAGCAATATACCCAACCAGGTCGACCTCCTCGCGGTTCCCCCTGGAAACTATCATGGTTAATTCCTGATGAATTCATCATGATGGGCTGACTGGCCTGTTTTCATTCTCAACTATCACCCTTCACTGATGCTCTCACGCATATCCCATTAGCACGGGCAGGGTTACCATTCCATTTTCACACATCAAAAAAAAATGTTAATTTATTTACATATTTAAACAAAACTAATGTGGCATAAAAAACCAATATTGAATGAAAATACAAATGAAATATAAAGGCTTGGTCTACTATGAGAGATAGATAAATAAAATCAGTAGATAATTTAATTTAAAAAAGTAACAGTATGCAATATTATATATGACTGATCAACACATAATCCTTTTATTACAACATTACTACATATTAATACAAATTGTTTTGTATTTGTTATTCAAATAAAATAACCTACTAAAATTATTTATTAGGATTACAGTGGTTAATAAATGATTATGTTATACATTATAAATTCATGGTTGAGACTTAAAGCGACGCGATAGGTAAATAGTACTTACACACTTTCTTTTTATTGCCTATATATGTATGTGTAAACAAAGCAAAAGTTTAAAATTACCTATGTTTTATATTAATTAGGAATTATGTATCTTTATAATTGAATTGGCTATATTCATAATTGAAAATAAGATAAATAAAAAACTAATTAATTTCTTACTTAATTTGTTTTTAAACATTGCATTAAGTTTTATTTGCAAACAATTATTAGAATGATGTACATAAATAGATTGACAATAAATTAGCAAATAAAGAGTTACTTACTTGTGTATTCTTGTAAAAATGAAGTTAATGATAAACATTTAAGTATAAAGAAACAAATATTTAACAGACATGATTAGTTCTCGATGTCCCGCGGCGAGTCGCGTGGGCGACTTAAACAAGTTTATATGGACGCCACAAATGAACGCGTGGGAAGGAACATCACTTAGCATCATTTACCTAGATTCTACTAGTGTGTAATAGTATTAACAATCGTATATTTTAAATTAGATCACTTACTTTGGATATGATAGTGGCATTCCATTCGCTCCGTCGTCGTCGTCGTTCAAAGAATACCGAATGTACACTTTTCATACGAACGGGACAGAGTCACATCATTATTACATTGGCACGCAATGACATTAATAATGAATACTTTCACAACTGCAGCTTAAAAAAGAATTTTTCCACGAAATATCTAATTCTGTATACAAATCAGTACTAGTCTTCGCCGTGCGCAGCTGTTCTGTTTGACATTGACATGTTTGTTATTTTTTATTTGGTAGGTAATTGTAATTTTACAGTAAGTAATGACAGTGACTGGTGACAATTTAAACTGAAACAAAACATAGACAATAATGTGCCTATTATACTTTATCTAAGTAGAAATAAAATATAATTGACGACTTAAAATTTGATTGATTACCTATAAATAAGCAAATACATAATAAATTATGATCTTTTGTTAATTGTTAAAAATATTCTGTTACTGATTAAATGTATTTTGCTGACAAACAGCGCCACTAGCGATCAAGTGTCCAGAAAGAAAACTAATTCGTAACTAATTTTAGTTCCTTAATAGTCCTATAGAGGCATTGATGGTAGCTCGCTAATCACTACGTTTTTTAGAAAGCATTGGGTATATGGTGCAGAAAAATTCCTTTTTTTTCAGATATATAAACTAATAGAGATTTTGATATTCAAATACTGCTAAACAAAGAGTAAAATAAGTACACTACAGGCTGCTAAACAATAATGTTGGTGGACCTTCTTGCTTAGTTTGGACATTACCACTATGTGACAGATAATAATTATATTCATACTTGTATTTCATAAAAAGAATATATCAAATTAAGGATTTTTTATATAAATAACTGAAATTAATAGGTACAAGCTTAGTAAAGTACGTTATACAAAGTATATTATTTAGCAGCCATTTCAACATACAAGTCTGGCCTCATTGTAGAAATCGGTTTAACTGTAAGCTGATTGTGCGACACGGAACGTAAGCTTAAAAGAACTATCAATATCTTATATAGGTAATCACTTTTTTTATGCAACTTAGAATGGCAAACAAGCTGAATATCCACCTGATGGAAAATGGTAACCGTCGCCTATAGACATGAGCAGTAACATGGACATAACAGAGTATACTGTTTCGCCCATGATACCCCCATGCGTTGCTATTCCTGAAGATTCAGCTGTTATTCCTCTGTACCCTGTAAATTCACTGCCATATCCCACCCAACAAACCGAAACGCAGCCATGCAAATACAACTGCTTCACGATAGAAACACGAATGGGACAGAATTGTCCAAGCAAACGACTTTTGTACAAAATCTCCCTTACTATACTATACTATAAGAATCCATTAGACTCAGAAAGGCAGTGACATGTGATGTGATTGTTAATAATGGATATATTGTCCATATATGTATTCTGAAGTGTGAAGCTCCAGAAGTTCAAGTAGCTGATGAAGAAGTCCCTCCTGGAAACAATCGTGGTTAATTCTTGCTATTTAGATCACGTCCTTAGTCCTCAGGAATGGGGGGAAAGGGATTGTTAGCAATGGAGACTGAGAATCCCATTGCTAGCAATATACCCAACTAGGTCGACCTCCTTGCGGTTCCCCTTGGAAACTATCATGGTTAATTCCTGATGAATTCATCATGATGGGTTAACTGGCCTGTTTTCATTCTCATCTATCACCCTTCACTGGTGCTCCGCCAGCGTATCCCGTTAGCGCAGGCGGGGTTACCATACTATTTTCACCCATCAAAAAAAAGTCCTCAGGAATAATATATTGACAACATATTATGGATAGACATTTATTATGTCCATCATGTTGTATTTTTTTTTATACAAATTAGAATGGCAAACAAGCTGACGGCCCACCTGATGGAAAGCGGAAACCGTCGTCCATAGACTAAGGGGGAGAAAGGATTATTATTAATTGGTGTTAGTAATCCTTATGCTAATTATATACCGTGTCAGGTCGACCTCCACGCGGTTCCCACTGAAAAACATCGTAATTGATTTATTGTTGAATTCGTGACAATGAGCAAACTGACCTACTTAATTCTTCACTGGTGCCCCGCAAATGTTTACCGGTAGCGCAGACGAGGTTATCGTTCCATTATGATCCATTAAAAAAAAATTTCGATCCTCAGGAATGTAATGAAGAGACAGTTACCACTTTATATCAGATAGACTGTCTATAGGCGACGGTTACCACTTTACATCAGGTGGGCCGTCAGCTTGTCTGCCATTTTAAGTCGTATATAAAAAAAACCAATTACATTAGAAATAAGGAAACAATCATCGTGATCATCAACTACTGAATTGAAGAACAGTGAAGGGAAATGTTGGAAAAACGGGAGAAGTTACTCCATTTTTAAGCTTTCGTCGCGTGTGCAGCTTTAATGACCAGTTTTTCAAATGTAAAAATGTCCACCCGCGCGACGCCGGCACGGGCCGCTAGTATATGTTAATATTTTTACTTGTGCCATAAAGAACTTCAGCTAAATATGTATTTAAGAGCTAAGTATATCTAAATACAATGACTGGCTGCATATACCTATATTTATTTTCAAGACATTTTCAGCACATCTCGTAATAAATACGGCTATATATAATATCTATAGATAACATAATAAGTTTGTAGAAGTGCAGAGTTCACTTTATTTGTACAGTTTGTTGTCTTGTTTTTCAACAAGATAATACAGGTAAATAAGCAATTACCCGACTATACCTATGTTATTCGAATTGTGCAATCGCTGTATGTGTCCCGTGGTCGCAGGTCGCGGCCAAGAGATTGGTAACAGTGTTGGTAGAGGCGGCGCGGCGAGGCGAGGCGAGGCGCGGCGCGAGGCATCGTAAGGAGGTCAGTGTGCGCGCGGGAAGTGGGTCAGGGCGTATTCGGATGCACCAGTGCGGCGCGCGGTCGGCGGCGCTCGGCGGCCGTCGGCCCCGTCCGGCGGCGCAGGCGCGCAGCACCCATCGATCGCCGCCCACGCGGCGCAGCGCCGCTCAAGTGCTCCGCGAGTCGCGACGCGAGTCCCGGGCTTGGCCCCTCGACGATGGCGGCGTGAGCGCGCGCCGCCCGCGGCCTCCGGCGGACATGCCGCGATGGCCAGAGAGGTAACCGCGACGCGACCGGCGCCCTACCGCCGCCTCCGCCCTCTTATGTAACCGGTGATCACTGACACGCCCGGAGATATGGTTATTATCACGACCGCCTGTCCGTCCGCCCCTAGCGACCCTGTGCTTGTTCCGTGCGGCTTAGCGCTGGGCCAGTACCGGCCCAGCGCTCGCTGCCGCGGCGCCGCTATGCTCGTTCCAACCTGCGGATCCTATCGTTATCGATTCGGAAGCTTGTAGCCGTACTAGGTGGTATCGTGAGCGACTGCCTGCATATCAGACAGCCGCGTTGCCATCACCGTTAGAAAGTAGAATCATATCGTGGTACCAGTGCTGCCGGTGGGAGGTCCAGTGATGAACTTTGTGTGCTATAGTTATGTAGGGGCGAATGGGAGCTGCCCGTGTGCCAGTGCGGCCGTGGAGGCACGAGAGCGTGCGGCAGTGCCGCAGCCGGCGTCTCGCTCTCCCTCAGCGAGCTGCCCATGCGTGCCTCTCGCTCGCTCTGCCGTAGACAGGCGTTGCACATGCAATCTGCATTACAAAATTTGTGCCACTTACTGCATTTATAGATATAACACGATGTACCTATTTTTATGTTCCAAATCTATCGATTGTAGAGATAGTGTTAGGGCGTGGAGTGAATTTACAGACACTGACTGTGCACGAGGTTAATTTGTATAATTTATAAATATACCCATTCCCAAAGAATAATTTGAACATTAACCAGCAGTGTGTAAAAAAAAAATATTCGTGTTTATAAAAACTTGTCGCGATATTATTAATAGTATCTTTGGACAGCAGTTGGAGCCGGCACTGCGGCCCTAGCACATGCGTAGCACGCCGTAGCACGCCGTAGCACGCCGTTAACACCGCGTAGAGTCCGTAGTTGGCACTTAGTGATAGAAGTACATGAAATTAGATGCTTAATTTTTTAATATTATAGTAATAATGATAATAAAGTATTATAACCGTATAAAAACGTCAAATCATCGGTCAACCGGGAAACATATAAAGAAAATTCTGAATTATAGAAATTGCTATAATATTATATATATATATATATATATATATATATATATATATAAATATATATATATATATATTGTACATGTATATATAAATTTCATACGAATCTAAATTCCATTCGACAGAATGTTAAATTCATTTTATACTATTCAGTGTTCGGTTAATTTAACTTGACGACCTTAGCTCGGTGTTTTTTTTTTAAAGGACAATAATGGAATGGTCACTCCGCTTGTGCTTACGGTATACGTTGGCGGGGCACCAGTGAGGGATGACAAGTGAAAAGGCAAGTTAGTTAGCCCACCGTGATGAATACACCTGAAATTTAGCACGATGGTTTCTAAAAGGTCCACGTGGAGGTCGACCTGACAGGATATAGCACTGCTAGCAATGGTACTGTTAGTCCGCATTACCAACAATCCCTCCCCCTGTAGTGCAGTGTTTTTTTTTATGGATGAAAATAGTATGGTAACCCCGCCTGCGCTAACGGGATACGCTGGCGGAGCACCAGTGAAGGGTGACAGATGAGAATGAAAACAGGCCAGTTAGCCCATCGTGATGAATTCATCAGGAATTAACCATGATATTTTCCAGGGGGAACTGCGAGGAGGTCGACCTGGTTGGGTATATTGCTAGCAATGGGATTCTCAGTCTCCATTACTAACAATCCCTTTCCCCCCTGTAGTGCAGTGTTAGATAGGTATTGCTTTGAGTATACGAGGCTTCGGGTTCAATTATCGAACAAATTTATGAATAAACATTGATTTAACTCGAAACTGACTGTTCTAGATTATGTATGCCCTCATAATATCTTTGGTCTAGTTTTTCATAACACATACACTAGTTCGATGATCAAATGATCAAAGTGATTGGGTTTTTTTTTTCTATACTAGCCTTTTCGCCCCCTGCAATGGCAAACAAGCTGACGGTCCACCTGATGGAAAGTGGTAACCGTCGCCTATAGTCATGAGCAGTATCGTGGACATAACAGAGTATACTGTTTCATCCATGATACCCCCCCATGCGTTGGCATTCCTGAGGACTCAGGTGTTATTCCTCTGTACCCAGTAAATTCACGCCATATCCCACCTTTCAAACCAAGCAATCGACTTTTGTACAGTCTCCCTCTGGACTTTGTATATTTTAGCTGTGGCATAAACTATGCATGTAATAATAAATTCTTTTAATGTGATTTGAAATAAACAATTACACACGAAATATAATATATTTAGAATTTATATAATATAATATGTTTAATACATTTCACATCACCATATTTAGAATTAACAGAATTTTTCATACTGCTTCCGATCAAATTGATTATGTACACAAATAACAACACATATATGTAGATACATACGCAAAAAAAAAAGAAATTAAAGAATACATACATACAAGAAAAAAAAAGCAAAACGAATATACACAATCAAACTGTTTATAATAACTCCTCTCCATCCAAAGGTTTTTTTTTTTTTTTTTTTTTTTTTTTTTTTTTTTTTTTTTTTTTTTTTTTTTTTTTTTTTTTTTTTTTTTGCAACTTAGAATGACAAACAAGCTGACGGCCCACCTGATGGAAAGTGGTAACCGTCGCCTATAGACATGAGCAGTACCATGGACATAGCAGACTATACTGTTTCACCCATGATACCCCCCATGCGTTGCCATTCCTGAGGACTCAGGTGTTATTCCTCTGTACCCTGTAAATTCACGCCATATCCCACCCTTCAAACCGAAACACAGTCATGCAAACACAACTGCTTCACGGTTGAAACACGAATGGGACAGAGGTGCCCAAGCAATCGACTTTTGTACAAAGTCTCCCTCTGGTTGTCTGGAAGAGATCGCTTTTAGCGATAAGGTCGCCCATTGTTTTCTAATTGTGATTATTTCTTGTAATTGTTTATATTTATATTTTATTTATTTAAATTGTTTTACAAGTAGGTATGATAGTACTGTATAATTAAAAAAGCATCTTTTGCATTTTAAAAATATAATATATATATATATATATATATATATATATATATATATATATATATATATATATATATATATATATATATATATATATATATATATCAAATAAAATTATATAATTCCATGCACATACATTAAATATGTACCTAATACTAGGATATATATTAATATTTATAGGCACAAGGAAAAGAAACTATCATAAAATAAATTATATAAATACATAAATAAAGAATACATAATACCTTTAAAGGGATAAAGTCCGCCTGTGTACATTTTGGTTAACACTAATCTAACATCTACGCTGGCGCTTTATAAAAAAAAAAAACTGATCTGAATCAGCCAAAGTATTAAAAAAAATTAAATCTATTAATGAATTGAAATAGGTACGTAAAAAAATTTATTTAATAAAATGTACATAAATGTGAAAATCTATCTAAAACATGTAACAAATAATACTTTTTAATTAAAGTCAGTTGTGATCGACTACTTGACAACTCATTAGCTGAAGCAGAGTGTCGCCCACGTGATTGGCGAGGGAGCACGCGTGGTCGGCCCACCGCCGCCCACAGGTTGTTATTGCAAGTAGGCGGTGTAACAACAAATGTTGTCATATTTGAAGGTAGGTGTACATGATGAAACACCCCCGCGGCATTCCATACAAGCTAATAATCTCGATATAAATAACTAGTTTATACAAGTGGCACGATCAAGGTATTTATTGTTTTATTTTTCTTAAATAAAACTTAAAGGACAAGCGGTGAGATAATTTTTTTTTATAAAATAACTTAGACTTACTGACGCACTCGAATAAGTTTATTAAATTAATAGCTATCAGTTAATTTTTTTTTTATTTTATACAAAAATCCACAGCTCTTAAAAAATAACTTACATGCTAAGTCTCTTATGAATACAGCCAATAACGGATTTTATTTATACAAACGAAAATTATGATTTCAAAGCGAGGTAGGCAAGTTAGAGTGGGTGTATGCAAGTAATACAAGTGCATGTATGAAAGAAACCATATATAATAGCGAGTGTCCATAAAGTTAATTGATATATAAATAAAATTATTTATTTATTTTTATCCAAAGCACAAAATACATTGTATAGGATACTACATAATACCATTTCAAAAATTATAAATTTAAATTACTATTACAGTTATTTACAGTCAGTAATTTTTTTTTTTCTATTTATTTTTATTTAGCCACTTCGTAACTTTATACAATCAATACATACAATATAAAAATAAAGATTGAAATCATTCTATCTTTCCAATTTAGTTTAAATATAAAAAAAAATATTAGAAGACTGTCATCATTGTGTTCTCTTGTATTTGATATTTATATATGTGTGTGTATGTGTATGTATGTATGTGTATATATGTATGTATATGTATATATATATATATATATGTATATATATATATATATATATATATATATATATATATATATATATATATATATATATATATATATATATAATGATATAAGTGTAAGTTATGTAAATATTTATTTAAATTTTTGTCTTGCACTACTACTGCCCACTCATGCCTACTTCCTAGGCCACTGCGTTAGGTTGACTGGAAGAAATCGCTTTTAGAGATAAGTCCGCCTTTGCTAACATTGTTATTAACTTATTGTTGTTACTGTATGTTTTAGTGCAATATATATATAATATAAATTGCTAATTGACATATTAACAAAATTAATAATTGCCATTAACAGCCCTTAATCAATCATTGACTGACACTGAGAGGGACTTTTTTTTTATTTAAGCTAAGGAGTTACTTAAGTAATCGTTGAACTTTGAGTACGGCAGTTTGAAAGAATATGCTTTATTTATGTCATATATTTAACAATTGAATAATAATCAATTATTAGTATTTATTATTATTTATTTATTTATTATTCTTTTAAAGCATGAGTTACATGGTGTTACAGGAAGAATAAGTAAATGTTTCGCCATACTAATGCATGTAAATCTTGGTTCCTTAA